TCACGTTTTTAAAATTGCCATCACTTTGGAATACCACCAGCTCACAAACAAAACGCCCCTTTCCACTCTGAAAAAGAGGTTTTTTTTTTTCTGTGCACACGCTACACCACCACCCTAAGGGCGAGGTGACCAGGCCTCAGCCACGCAGGGACCACGAACCACCCAGGGCAGCGGCCGGGGCCAGTGCTGGGGTTGCCCCCCGAGCCCCCTCCGCTGCCCTACACCGCGTCGAAACGGAGAAGGATGGAGAGCTGGCCCAGACGTGCCTCTCCCCAACGCCAGGCCAACTCCAGGCTTCTTGGAGGACCTTGGGGAAAAAAAAAAAAAATTATCAGGTCCTTGCCCTTCCCAGCCACGAGACCGGGAGTCAAAGCATCCTCAGGAAAGCAAAGCATGATTTTGATGCAGTAGAGGATTTTGCAGACAGACAGGGCTTTTGCTTTTTTGTTTATTTGTTGGGTTTTTCTCTTTTAAGTCTTGAGAAAAATTTAGTCAATGCCATGTACAGTTACAGCTACCTGCAGTCAGCAGAACTGTTAAGTACCACTTTTAACATGCCCTCCACAGAAAATATTCTTGATGTCGTTTCCTTAAAGGCTAAAACTGAAGTCAGGTTTGCAAAGTAGCCACATACATAAATTCTTCCCCACTCTAAGTGATTCTGAACAGCCATAATCCTAAAAGAGGTAGGAGTCTCTCCTTGTGCTCTACAACTTTAAATCCTTGTACAATTCATACAGTTTTCTTTTGAGGAAACTTTTTCTTTTTTTTTAAATGTACCCAAGCCTTGAAAAATTCAAATAAAAAAAGGAGCAATTTAAATGCAAAATATTAAGTAACTGAAGATCTGAGCTACAGTCAGAAACAGCTCATCAGCTTCCACAAGGACATAAATATTTGAATAGATAAAGAGTAATTCTTGCTAAGAATGTAAGACTGCAGTCATTCATTCTCCCCCGCACAGTGTCAGTTTGAAGGCCACTCTCTTAACAGACAGGCTGGGGAAAAAAAAAAAAAAAGAAAAAGAAAAAAAAAAAAATCGGTATAACAAACCCAAAGAGAAAAGTTGTGAACATCTCAGAAAAACTTTCCAGTGGCAGCTCTGCTTCATGTTGATAAACTATCAGGACAGATTACAATTTTTGCAAGGAAAAAGAGAAATATTTAAATTTGTGAATTAAGCATCTGTCTCTTAATGTGAAGCACCTTAATTTTCTATGTAGGTCTTTTCAACTTCTTATCTCTCCAAACAGACTCATTTTGTATACAGTTATTTAGCTTCCCCAATATATATTAAAAACAGTCCAAAAAAGCCTGAAACCACTACAGCTAGATCTGCTGATCTTAACTGTGCAACACAGCAACCTAGTAACTTATCTACTTATCTTCATTAGTTTTCTAAAAAACTTCAAGAGCATCCAAAAGCACCAGAAACTCTCGCCGTGTCACGCTAATGGTTCATGCAGCCCAGCACTTGGTCTCCAGCGGTGGCCACAGGAGATGCCATTTACAGCTCAGGTGGTCCATTCCCCTCCTGCCTCCCCCAGCACCCTTCAGAGGCTGCATTTCCATCCATTTCTCAGAACATCTCGGGACCTGTGGTCTGTAAATCTGCCTCACCTCCTTCTGGGCCTGCTGACACCGTCTGCCTCCGTAACTCCCTCTGACAGCAAGCTTCAGAAATGACAATTTTTTTGTTTTACTTGCTTTAAACTAACATCCTACTGATGTCAGCGAGTGCACCCTATTTCTTGTCCTGTGGCATTTGGTGTAGAAGAGTTTCACGGACTTCTCACCTGCCAGGAAGGTGCACCATTCCCAATCCTGCCCCTCTGTACCCCTTTAATTATTTCCTGGGGTACAGAGACCAGAACAGCACTGGGCATGCAAGATGAGGATACACCAAGGCTAACAACAAAATGACAGCCCTGCCATTTTCTCATTATCCCTCTGGCTGACACCCAACATCCTGCTGCTTCTGTGCCCCAAGCACAAACCCAGGCTGGGCAAGGGGTGGCTGGAGAGCAGCCCCAAGGAGAGGGACTGGGGGGGTTGGTGGGGGGAAAACTGCCCGTGAGGCAGCCCCGTGCGCTGGCAGCCCAGAACCCACCCGTGCCCTGGGCTGCAGCCAGAGCAGGGGGGGCAGCAGGGCCAGGGGGGGGATTCTCCCCCTCTGCTCCGCTCTGGGGAGACCCCCCTGCAGTGCTGGGGCCAGCTCAGGGGCCCCCAACAGCAGAAGGACCCGGAGCTGCTCGAGCGGGGCCAGAGGAGGCCACGGAGATGCTGGGGGGGCTGGAGCAGCTCCCCTGGGGGGCCGGGCTGAGAGAGTTGGGGGGGGTCAGCCTGGAGAAGAGAAGGCTCCGGGGAGCCCTTCGAGCAGCCTCCCAGGGCTTAAAGGGGGGACAGGGAAGGTGGGGAGGGACTCTGGATCAGGGGGTGTTTACAGGATGAGGGGTGACAGGATTAAACTGCCAGAGGGCAGATTTAGGTGAGCTCTAAGGCAGAAATTGTTCCCTGTTTGGGGGGTGAGGCGCTGGCCCAGGGTGCCCAGAGCAGCTGTGGCTGCCCCCTCCCTGGAAGGGTTCCAGGCCAGGTTGGACGGGGCTGGGAGCCCCCTGGGCTGGGGTAAGGGGGCCCTGCCTGGGGCAGGGGATGGCACTGGGGGGGCTTTGAGGTCCCTTCCAACCCAAACCAGCCTGTGATTCTTCACCTGTCACTGTGCATGGAACTGCTAACCCCAGAGAACTGTCAGTTATGACCCCAGGGTGTCTTCCCCAAACTGCAACTGCCAGCTTCAAGCACAGCATCATACCAGGATTCATTTTCTCTTCCTCCAGAGATGCACTGCTTTACATTTGTTTATCTTGCAGTTCACATTTTAGCCTCCCCAGTTTCGCGATGTCCTTCTGACGCTCCTCACCACTAGCACGGTACTTAACTACAGACTCCAGATCTGATAAAGATGCTGAACGAAGCCTCGAATGTCATGTCCACTTTACATGGTTACTGACACCCTCCCAGGGCTCCAACAGCTTTGTCAGACAAGATTGACAGAAGCTATATTCAATCTCTCTCTCAAAAAAAAACCAACAACACACCACATTTATCCACCTATTCAATAATTCTATTATTTGTAATAGAAATACATTTCTAGCTACTGAAAAACTGTAGTGCTTCAGTGGATATTTGAACATAATAAAAGCAATCTCACAAGCTGCAAAAGGCCAATACTAACAATTATGTGTTCTAAGAGCTAAGTAATTAGAGTCCAAAGGAGATGAAAGCAATGAATAATGAATGAAAGGTTGTCAAGGCTTTTGAAAGGCATCCACAAGCACACTTCTCTGACAACCTCACACTGGCTCATCTGTCAGTGCTTCAGCTACCAGCGTACTTCACGTAGCCAAATGCAGACAGTAGATGTGCTCTATGTGCGTTTGCAGAGATCTAAGTGTGAAACAATACACAGACTAGGACAGACACTGCTGTAGTGGGATCTCTCTAGCCTTTACTAGGAAATATGTCTTCTTTTCCTGCATCTCAAGTGAAGACAACCAAATATATTTTTTGGGGTTTTGTTTTGTTGGGTTTTTTTTTTTTTTTTCAAGGTATGAACTGTTGAAAAAGAAAAAAAGCTCATGTTCATCTGCCTTCCTGAAGCAGGCCTCACAAACAAGTCTCTGGAAAATAAATTCAATCCTCATAATCTGAAAAACATCCTATTTGTAAAACACCAGATAGAACACTCTGAGTCACTGACTAAAACTTACCAACTTCCATTCGGGGTAGATGCATTGTCAATGGAATGAAAATACAGCTTTCTTGAAAAATGTCATATCCCTATTTTGCTATCAGATGATACAGTCTCAGTCTCTCTGCCTAAAATATTCGAACTCAGAAGCTTTATCCCCACCATCTACTTCTGCTGTGCGCTCAGCACGGCATTACCAGCCTCAGACCTGCAAGCACTCGGCTACAAAGCACCAGTGCCTTTGACCTAGGTGTTTTCCTGCCGTACTCCTCCCGGCTCCCTTAGAGAGGAACCTCCTGCACTGGCACAGTGCCTTGTCACAGTCTTTGCCTCCCAGGTGCTATAAAAAAATTCTTCTAATGCATAACCGCTGCACGTCTGAGCAGGAGGAGTCACACTGTCAAACTGTCACCAAATTCAAGCCCAGTTCTTATCCCCTTTCTGATCATCGTATTTCAGCTGATTCAGCATGGCTAGGTCAAGAGTTACGTCCTTTTATAAATTCTACTTGAAACAGCAAGGAGAACTTCAAGACGTAGCTTATCAAACGTGTGTTTAGGACAGTCTCTGTATTTTTCCATGGTGAAAGAGATTCCCTAACAGAACACGAGACTGGTATTGGCACAATGACCTCCGACTCCTCTGGATACAAAAATCTACTAGTCCTATACAATTCAATGCTTCTGCCCTGTGAGATCGATACCCCTGTTCATCTGAGGTCAGAGACCACATTACCGACTCCGTGAGCCAGCCAATGCCACCAGAAGTAGCAACCATTTTAAAGGGACAAAAGAAGAGCGGGGGGAGGTAGAGTTTGCAGTCTGACTCACTACTGATTTTCCATTCCAAACACGTACCGGGGCTTAAGATACTACATTGAAGTTCATGAACAGCCTCGGATATAACTAAGTGCATAGGAATACAAAGATCTGTGTTGTCATCAGCAGCTTAGCGATAATGTCTTAAAAATACCTTAAAGTTAAGGTTATGCAAGTTAAATAAGCTAAACATCATTTAACCCCCAAGTTGTCTTTTAGAAATGAAAGTGAGGTATTTGTAGCAATTTAAACTTACTTGTTCAAAGCACATTCTTTATATCGTCACAAACCCGTCTGTCGAAGCACTAAGTATTAACCACGCTTGAGGTAAAATACGTTTTTACAAAACACAAGCACAGACTTCATCGACTGTCTAACTATGGTTTAGGATGCAAAAGTAAAGCCAAGACGGAGACCTGAAAAGCACATACCTTCACTATGACAGTTTGATCGGAGATGCTGCTCATCATCTCATTGATGGACTTAAAGAGCTGCAGCAGAGACTCCCTGAAGTCTGCTTCTCCTTTGTTTTCATAAAGTCTGAAAAATAATTAGGTTTTATAAGCACGATCCAACTAAAATGGAAATACATTTTTAAAAAAATCTGTTCAAATGACAGATGATAATTTGTTGCGTTACCTTTTTTTAAGTTCAAGAATTTCTACAAGTTTCTTCACTGAACCAAGAGTTTTCTTTCACAGAAAACTAAAGACAAGACAGACTGACCATGCTGGGCCAGCCAGACTTTAAAGCTTCCTATGTAAAACGCCACGTTCAGTATTACTGTTTATGCCTTGAAGTCATGGTGAATCCCTCAGCAGTGACCCAATTCCACATGCCCACACAGCAGCGGGACACAGTCTCTTCACCCTGCACAAAGCAGATGTCTGGGAGGACCAATGCCAAGCAGCTCTCTGATGAAGCAGCCACAAAGCATCCAGTCAACTTGCCAGCAATCATTAAAATCTACCAGTGGCCTACGGTGACTGACCTTAAACTCTGTGAAAGAAAGAAAAAGCCTATCAACCCACTCTTTACTAAAAAAAAAAAAAAAAAAAAAAAAAACAAACAAACCACACAACCACCAACCCCCACCTTTTTTTTCCCATGGGGAGAGAGCACTAAAGTTAAAACACTTTCCTTTCCACCTCTAATTTCTGGCTTACTGATACTAAACTAGTTAGGGCTCAGGTCCCCATACAGTGAGTACAGCTGCAGAACAATGACTAATTCACAGCTAAAGATTGCAAGGCTTCTTGCAATCCCACCAGTGCCTTCAGGTGGGATTTTTCAAAGCTGATCTGCCCACAGGGACCACTCTCTCTCTCTTTGCCAGACACCTTCAGGGGGATAAAACCTGCCCTGAGATGCCTGACCAACACCAAAGGCAAAAAATATACAGCCAAACTGAAGAACTTGCTCCACTGGTTCAACAGAGCACAGGAATGAATGTTCCTGAACGCTCTTGAATATTTTAAATGCAGAATGATGCCTGCTTCGGGTATACGATGAGATAATTCTCACTACAAAATGGAAAGGAAGGGGAAGAAGACCATTAGATCCACATAAATCCTTTGAAACTTTTCTTTCCCCTTGGCAATACATATGACTCGCCTAAATAAGGGCTGTTGCAAACACAGTTCTTGAACCTCAAGCTATACAGACTTAACATGACCCCAGTAAGTACGTAATTTTAAAATGTCAGCTCCTGAAAGCAGCCCAGGAGAATCTGGCATCCAGGTCCAATCTAAACAGGGGTGTTGATAAACATCAAATGGGACTTCTTCCCCAGTTAAGCCTCCACGCTTACCCCATCAGCTTTGCCTCCAAGAGCTTCATCCAACAGCATCTGGGCTTCCAAAACCCTCCTTGGCTCCACTGCCACTGTCCCTGAGCTCACCTAAACATTTTGCACCAAGACCCATTAGAGCAGCTCCCAGCAAGAGTTCAATTCCCCTCTATCATCCTCCACTGTCTTCTGGAGTTCAGTCCAGTAAGGTGGTCGTGACTGTGGTCTGCAGCTCAAAGAGCACCACACCTAGGGGTTTTATATGTACAGCCATAGTATGATTTCTTCATGTTTCAAGGTATCATGATGGGCCACCTATTACAGAAGGGGCTTATTTTAAGATAAAGATGGAGTTCAGAATGTTCTTGCTGCTTTACACTAAAACTAATGCGTATCATTTTTAATGCGCTGTTCATAAACCTTTGGGAGCCACAAATATTAAAAAAGCTATTTAACCAGCACACAGGGGAAATGAATGCTACTGAAAAAAATATTAAATTGTGTTCTTTTGCTGTGCAAACTCCTGTTCCCCATTTAGGCTAAAACTGGGGGTTGTGCAGGACAAATTACTTGTTAACTCCCAATTTCAATAATGGATTTCAGTGTCCCCATGAACAGATTAGAGAGGTGAAACTAATACCAATATAAAGAGTAACTAAACTTGACAGTCCAATAAATCAAACTGCTTCAGACAAAAAGCTTTGTGTTTCAAAAAGGAAATTCTAATAAAAATAAACAAGTTACAAATGTGTTTCTACTGTCAGTTATTAAATTTATTTAATACACCTGATAGTGCACAAAGACACTGCACCTATGAGATAAACCAGGATTACACTGAGTCGACCCTTCTAGCGCTGCCTTCAAAATTTTAAGACTGTTGTAAATGCAGCATAACCACTGGAATCATTACTAAGTAAACCAAATAAAGATATTTCTAAAGTTCACTTATAATATTTTGCCTTTATCAACCCTGATATACTGAACAAATAGATTTGCCACCAGGCTTTAACTAGATGAGCTAGGCTTCTACGTATTTATCCAGAACTGAAGCCTGCCTGCAAACACACTACTAAAATGCTCCATATATTCAGTCCACTAGCATATTACTGAAGTTAAAAATATGTAATATTTTTTAATAAAAGATTCTGCTTGCTCATTGCAATTTCTCAATAAAACACTAACAATATTTCAGAACATTGCTACGCTTCTGCATTATAATCACTTCAAACCACACACCTCAGGCAGGATTTAGGTCTTACAGCAGAACAAACCATGGTGTCATTCAGCATTCAGCAGCTTCGCTGATTAATCCCTTGTCATTGAGAGCTGTGTCTTCCCAAAGCTAAAGAACTGTGAATTAATGCTTAGCACGAGGAAATCCAATGGCCAATACTAGAGGGTCATATTGTCTGTAAATCTAATCTGCAGCAAGAGATAATTATTTTTTTCTCTGTTTTAAAGTGATTTGTAGGACCTGTAACAGTGCAAGTGACATTCAGTGTTTTATGAATCTCACAGTAAGACTCGTACAGAAATAAATTACAATCTCTAAATTAGAGAAAGGCTGGTGGAGTTGGTAACTTCAGAGCTATACATAAAGCCCTTGTAATAAGGTTGTTACCACCGCTAACAAGTAGTAAAAGGATTGAATCTAAGTGAAGACAAATACATCATGAACCTGTTTTCTAACTTTTTTAATATCTCACGTATAAAACACAGTACTGGTTTCCAAATTAACTCAGAAGAATTATTTATGGTTGACTTTATGGGTGGATGCCCACTGCAGACAGCAGTTCACCATGCAGGTTGAGTGAGGAGCCGGTAACAGCCCCTCAGCAGGCCTCTGCCACACCGGCCGGCATAGAAAGGGCTTTTGGAGAAACGCAAGTGACCCTCCTATCAAAAATACTATCACTCTCGAGGAGAAGATTTCTGCAGCCCTTTTTTCTTTCCACTTCCCCGTCTCGCTCACCAAAACCCACAGACTGCAGGGCCCTACAAACAGCAGCTGATCACCAACAGTTTCTTTCTGCTCTGACAGGGGGCCTGGGGAGCCCCGAGCTGTCAGGGGTTTAACTCCAACAATACTTGTGGTTTTCTTTTATGAGGCACTGTGTCAAAAAAGGTGCAGCTCTCACTTCTTTTCCCCCTCACTGTCCGCCTACTCTGACTCTTTTCCCTCTCCATGTCTGGCCTACGACTAAAGCCCTCTGCAAAGCACACAAGGACAAACGTCACATCTCCCATCCAGAAAAACTCTGCTGCAAAATTTTTAATACTTCAGTCTTCCCAGAATTGCAGCCATCTGAGGAAAGGTGTTGGCAAAGCCCGGGCCTGGAGGAGGGACAGGGCAGTACGGGTGCTCAGTACCTTCAACATTTCAGTCACAGAACCGGACAGTTGTTAACAGAAGTTTCCCTAATCGCAGTTTTATTTGTTCTATATAGAGAGCTGCAACATCTCATAATTTTAGCAGTGCACTTGCTACTTACAACATACATCTCTGTTAAGGAAATCTGGTTTCATTTTAGGGAACAGCTGTCTCCTAAAATAAGTGCTAGCAACTTAAGTTATTTCTAAAACAGTGCAATATGGAGCAACTTTAACTTGTGGTGTTATAAGTGACACTTTTTGAACATACTGTCAATGGGTATTACAGGAGGTTTCAGCAGTCACCATACTTACTGATTGAACAATATCCTGGACCGGACGATGAACTTGAAGATGTACTCCAAAGCTTTCATAGCTTTAAAGAGTTGATCAGTGATACCACATTTTTCAGCGTTATCCACGTACGTTTTTAAAACTTTGGTCAGTTTTCTGTTTAAATGCAAAAACACATACAAGTTCCAAGTATGCTCAGAGAGAACTGCAATTTTGAAAGGTTTAAAGAAAAATTATGTGCCTAAGTAGTGCCCGCCAAGTTAAAAAAATTAATTATGCAGCTAAACTCATTATGTTCTTATTTTTGCTGGCAAGCAGCTGCAATCTATTCTTGAGAAAAAAGGAAACACAGACCGTAACACCATACAACATACAAGCAATATAGCAAATCTTGGTAAGACTTATATTCCGCTGGGTATTTACGAACATTCAAATTCAGACTATTATAAAGATGCAGCTACTAATAATAACCAAAATAATTAAATGAAATACAAATGCACTGTTATAATTAAAACACAAAAATTAGAGTTTCTTCATTAGGCAAGGGTACCCCTTTACATAGCCCTCCCATGGATTTGCAGCTAGAATTTGTGTAATTTATTTCTCAAAAAATGTATGTAACACCAGTTGAAAATTCTCTTATTCCACATTTTCAAGTCTATCAAACCTGAAAGTGAAACAATTTTAAAAATAATACCATTTCAACTACCTCCCCTCCAATGAATACAAACCACAATTTTAATGCAACTACAAGCAATTCCACTTTAAATCATCCTAGCTACACTACATTTCAGCATTCACTCTAAAAGTAAGTAAATACAACATTATATACCACTAACAGAAAATAACATCGAGAAGACAGATATCGTGATACATGTGCATTTATTTGAATAGGAGTAAACTGCCTAAGAATTTCAAGTAACCACTTTGAAACAATGCAATCTCCCTTTACTTACAGAGCCTTGTGAGGTAAAAGGCAAGGTGAGGGCACAAGTCAAGCCAGAATTCAACACCTTCAGCATCCTCAAGCTTAACCCTGCCTCCACCCCCCTGCATTTAAGGGAGGGAAGGATGCTCTCCATGCCTACCAGCGAAAGGGCCACCTTCAGCTCTTGCTATTAAAACCAGATGCTGGGGGATGCTTCATCCTTTACCCACCTAACGTGATGGCTGCAACTGTGGCTTCACTCAGTGAACTGATTGTAATATCAAAGTTGTGACTAAAGGCCTAACTCTTCTTCACTATTTTAAATCAACACTTCTCAAGCATTTTCTGGTCACATAATAGAGACTGTGTCAGCGAAGTACACAGCAAGTTTCCCAGTTTGGATTTGTCTTCCTCTCAACACTGCAAAGATACCCATTATGTATTTTTCCTCCAACACTAATAGTCTCAAAGCAGCAGCAAAGATCCTAACTGTCAAGAAACACTTCAGACAGCAAAAACAATGGACCTTTGTTTTTATTCTTCACTGCTTCCTCCCCAAAATGACAGTAATGCAAATAACTCAGGGTAGAACCTCAATTTAATGAGCCAAACAATTTCTCAAGTATGACCGAGAATTGCTTACGACATTTTTCCCTACAAAGCAATTCCTGAAATCAAATCAGCCCCTCCTTCAGTACACCAAGATCAAGACTTCCTCCTTCCAAATGACCTGAAGTTTTATTACTGTTATTTCAAGAGAGACATGCTATCTGCCATCTTCTTTAAGAACCTCCCACCCTCCCAAGTTCTATGGGCAAATTTCTAACTAAATGACATAAGCAAGTAACTGAATAACGTTATCTGGAAAAACTGTGCAAGCTACATTAGAAAAAGTAATCTTTAAAATTTACGTGTAGGCTAACGTAGCACTGAAATGCTTCTTAATGTAGGTTTCCAAGACAGGATTAAAATGTTGAAATTTTCTGTCAGCAATCAGTCCAATGATAAACACCTGAAAAAACAGCATAGTTATTGCACTATCCTCAAAAAAAAAAAAAAATCTTTAACAGTGTACATTTGCCCACATTTCTTTTCAGGTAAGACATTAACACACACATGCTTTTGCTCCTCTCCATTCCTGTGAAACTTCCTGTTCATAAAGTTTTCTGTTCCAAGTGAAAACTTTCTGCTTCTGTCCTAAATTCTGCTGTTAATCCACTAAAATGACTGGACTTCATTGCTTCCATCTTTTCTGGGAGTATGACACGATATAATATGATATAATATAGCCTCCTTTTGCTCAAGTCCCACTGAAACTTCAAATATCATGAACACTTTCCCTGAATTTTAAATTAAAGAAATTAATGATCATTAAATTTAACAGCTAATAAAATCTGTTTCACTAGTAATCTTCATTCTAGCATTTACACTTTTGTTTTATTTATTCATCACTGTAGTACCTACATTTTATTCCATCCACAATGCAAACTTACCAAAGCATCAAACACTAACGTGTCAAATGTCTCACTCTCCGAGTTCTCCATCATTATGTTAAAAAGTGCATCCAATGTATCTTGAAGAAACTACAAATAAATATACAATTCATCACATTTTACAGGAAAAATAAAATTCAGATGTCACACAGGTTTCTACATACTTGCTTTCATTTATGTATTTTACAAAGTAATAACATTTTAAAAGTTAGCTGAAAAAAAAAGGAAAATGTAACGGTTTGACTTTTAGCAAATTATTTTTTAGGTAAGTTGATTATCTATAGATCCGTATCACTCAAATAGAAAAAAGGGTCAGAAATCACACTTGGTACACCTGAAGAGTAGGTTTAATCTATTACATTTTTGTTCATTCACTGTTTTTTTTTAAAACTCAGTTTCAACAGTCAACAGGATCATGCAGTTTCTGAAAACTGATGTTTCAGAGCACAAACCAGACAAGCAACTCAGTCTCATGCCAACTACATCAAGTCATCCTCAGTAGTTTTGAGCTGAGCAACAGTAAGTGCACGGCATTATCGCTTTTCACGACTGCATCAACTCAGATCCACAATTTCAAATGAGATCACACATGCAGGCGTGGGAAACAGAGCACAACCTTCTGCCCCAGCCCAAAACCTACACGCCTCTCTCACTGTAACAGAGGAAGAGTCTTCGCTAGCCAGTTGGCTGGACACCCTGATCTGTGCAACACGAAAGTAAAAGCAGATTAGTGTCAGGGGACCCACGTTAAGCAGAGGGATAAAAGCTGATTTATGCATGTATAATTACAGTATTTCTTCCCCGTGACAAGTAGTACGTGCATACACCAGAGATACTCATCAATCCACTCAGTTTTAGCATCATGGGATTCTATTTCTGAGCATTTTCTTCCACCAGATGACAAAAACAACATGGGCTCCTCCAAGGCAGAAGGAGGATGGACTGTGGCCTCAGTCTGTATTTGTTTTGGTTGCGAGAGAAGGGGTTCAACATGGCTTGTTCCAGCACATCTGTCTCGAAGTAAAAATGGTTTTTGTCTTGTAGGTGAGACAAGGTATAAGTGGCGAAGAGCACCTGAACAAGCAGAAGGCAATTGATTCCTGAGGTTGCAACTACTAAGAGATATTATATACTGTGGGAGCAAAGGAAGACTCAGCCTGACTCCAACCTTCCTCCCTTAAAGATTTTTATCTGTGCAATGAGTCTCCAACATCAAACATGATTCACCTGGACTATCTACTAAAACGAGAGTTAAATCTCAGAAATTAACTTCCATTTAGCAGCTCACTAAACACTGCCGAATGCCAAGCTTCCTCAAAACAAGTGAACATGGAGCCACAATTCATGCTACTAATATCTGAAGATGAAAAAAAAAAAAAAAACAAAAAAACAAAAAAGAAAAGCCAAAATGCTTGCAGCTGATTTTAGACTTCAGTTCTGGGGGAGATCCAGCTCATAATTTCACTACAGGATTTGGGAAAAAAAAAAATAAAAAATAAAAAATGATAGCCTTCTCACAGTCTCATTTGTTCTATTAAAGAACACGTGCAAATGAAGTACATTTAACCAGCAGCTGGCAGGAAGGAAAGAGTAAAGCAAAGTTTTGAGCTTTGACAGGAGAAGTTTCTGTCTTGATTTGAAGTAATACTCTCAGATCCCAAACCCTGGCTAAGTCCCTTTAGAAATAAAAGATGGTTAGAAGGCCATGACATGACCAATCAAGACTTCATTTCACATTTAGGCATCATATATTGACTTTCATTAGTAGAGTTCACGTTTTAAATCTGTTCACAGGGACTTCATGTAACAGCAAGAAGAATATAGGATAGATGCTTTTGTTGTATAAAGTGGCAAGAAAACATTTCTCAAGTAGGGAGCTAGTATGAATAATCTCTAGACTATTAGAATACATTTCTCATATCCTATAGACTCTATGCACAAATGGAATCAGAGCCTCTGTTCAAGGGAGATAACATTTACAGTTTCCATACGCTATGAAACAGTCAATCACAGAATGAGTATCTTGGCTGATCTCTACTTAGCAAGAAATGAACACCAGTAGGCAGAGACATTTTACTGCGGTTTTTAGAAAACAGAAGTAGTTTAACAGAAAAGTTATAGATGTGATAAAACACATTACATTTTGAAAATATACATAAACTGTACCATGCATCATATTTAAAAAACATGAAGGACAAAAAAAGCTGAAAGAAAGGAGCAGTTACAAACTAGATATTACAAACGTGCAACAGAGCAGTCTACACAAAGATTTTTCTGAACATGGCAGTAACAGATGGATAACTTAAACAGTGGTCATCTAAAAAAAACAGAATAAAAATGGTAAAGATAGCTAATTTAAACATTCACTCTTCTGCTCTATGCCTAAATCAAGTTCCAATCAGATCCGTATGCAATAGGGAGAAGGGAGTATCATTTCATGTGTGTCCTGCAACAGTGCATGGAGAAGAGGGAAAATTACAAGCGACAGAACAATGACAATGCTTGGCAGAAGTATCAATGTCAACCTTTAGCTATCAAATGATCCACTACAAAATAGCAGCAGGTAGAACTTTCCTGAAAAACAAATCATATGAGATACTAATTTCATCCTACTCAAACAGTAATATCAGCATTCTCCAATGTTTTAAGTTACTCCAAGATGAGGCATTCATTATGTTTCTATGAACCAAATTAAAATCCACCGAATAAAGAAACAACACGACAGGCCCTTGAAGGTCATCTGTCCCCCATACACTACATCTTTTGACGCTCTTTTGGATTTGATTTATTACAACACACTCAATAAAGTCCCAGCCTACTCTTTTCCACAGCTAAATCTTTATGTAAGTCTTTATATAGGTCTCTACAACCACTCAGTGGCCTTGGCAAATGTAAAAGACTTGGCTCACCTAAGTATTTTCAAAAGTTATTTTTTTTAAAAAGTATCAGCAGCACAGAGTAGGACTGCATTCCACATCCACGTATTAAAAATACATTTAGTATCACCATGTACGAATTCGAAGATGTTCTAATCTTGCAAAGAAAAAACACCCTTTGCCTCCATGTATCTGTATATAAAAATTCACTGAACTGCTAAAAAAAAACCCTACTTTTTCAGAAATGTGCATTTTACATGTGTTCTAGCAGTACTCAACAGCCAAAATGTTCTTTGAGGGCAGGGAGAAGGGCATTAGCATCCTGAAGGCTAAGAGATACCTGGTTACAATTTAATGTGCAAGTGTGTGCAGTGAGGTGGGAGGGGGGCAGGGAACAAAACAACGTATGAATACCTGAAAACACGGGATTCAGCCAAATTATTATACCAAATTCACTTTTAAAGAAGTTAGCTTGTTACCTTAACCACTTCACCACCATCGACTTTCATCAGCTGCTTCAAATTCTGCTGCAACAGGTTTGTGTTAGATCGCCATTTCAGAAGTCCCAAGAGATCAACTAGGAATAAGAACAACCATTATATCATACAGAACATATACTTTCACTCACATTCAGTAACTGTTTAGGACAAATAGGTTTACTTCCTGAATTCAGCCGTTTCCACTGCACAACAACATATTTCTAGAAAGTCTCTGACACTGCAGAAACTTAGTACAATACTTCTATCATGGAAGAACTCTGAAAGGCTTTCAAAAAAGCAGCCTGCTTTTGCAATGTCAGCATTAAAATCTAGGCCAAGAAAGTCTGATCTCTCAGTTTTAATTTGTTGTACACAACAGTTGTGTGTTTAGGAAAATATGCCAAAATGAAATTACTCAGCCACCAACACAGTCATATCTACGGGGCCGTGACTCTTCCTGCATTATGTTTCTAGCTTCTTTGCTCTCACTGAATAAACTGAAAAGAAAATAAGGCACAATGCAAGGCAAACAGTTGAAAACTAAGCTAATTCAGTGGAAAGCTATCTGCTTAATAACTCATAATGCCCAAATTGCTTGGTTATTTCCAAGTGATGGAGAGCTAGGGTACAGATCAGATCACGAAACAAATCAAAGTCTAATGGTTTTGTCCCCAAATTCTACATCCCGCTATTTAGACTGTGTCATTGCAGGATTCGCTGATAAATAAGGGAATACAGAAGGCAAGCTCATTTTCATTAGCCATAAAGATCCACAACACTATTTTTCAGTTTCCTTTAAGGAAAAGTTCCCCCAAGGAACTCGCAATTGGGGTTCCCCTGCAAATAAGCACACTAGTAAATCTTAACCACCCCCACTGGAGCACCAGTAAGTGAAACCCACCCAAGCATCTGTTAAAATGCAACCTGACCTGCCCACAAACCCAAAACCCTGGGCTTGTCCTGCCTTAGCCAAACTAGCACCAGAGGAAAATTCTTCCCTGCCCCATTAAAAGTCAGTTTTCAGCACAAAAACTACCTGTGAGTCATCCTCAGTAGAAGCCCCCCAAAGAGACACAAATAGAAGATTTTAAAGACTATCTACCTTCAGTTTAGCCACTGGATTACTCCTGTACATTACCCACCCCACTACGGTTAATATTATGTGAATTCTGTCCAACGTAACTCTCTTAAAGGACAGGCAGCTTCTCCCTTTGGAAAGGCAGCAATACCCCCTCGCTTCTTTTATTCAAACTTTCAAAGCAACCAACAAAATGTTTATCAAGGCATGCATCTGCAGAGTATATTCTGGAAATTCTATGCAAACACCCAGAGCAGCTGCTATACTTTCCCCAAGATCTTTCATTCTAAGCAAGAAATAAGATTACTTCTGGTGGAATAGACTGCAGTTCTCCTTGGGTGAGATTCCCCTCTGAAAAAACACTCAAACCAAGTCTCCTTAGCATCTCTTTGGGAGTAGAAGAGCATTTTACTACATTCTAGCTTTGAACATTCCAAGCCCCAATTTTTTAAAATTTTATCTTTTTATTATATCCTACAAGTCTATAGGCTGAAACCAAAATCTTAGGGACTCAACATTAACAGAAAAATTACTTCTGGGAGAAAAATAAAGATGCCTCCATGAGCTATCCAAAGTGTTGCAAGAATATGTTTATATCAGCTTTCCACCACTGACTTTGGTGTCAGTCTGACTTCTGAAAAGGCACCAGCTTGACAAAAGAAACGATCTGAACAAAAGCCAGCCCACAGACTATCTTTGAATGGCATCATGCATCGCCTCAAAAAAAAAAAAAAAAAAAACACAAATCCACACTTATTATGATGACACAGCAAGTGCTAAATGAATATACATAGGTGAACAGAAATGTCAATGCAGTTCAACTACCAGAAAGAGGAGAATAAGTTACAATGTACAGTAAAAATGTGCATTCTCTCTCTTACTGCAAGCATTAATCCCAGCAAGTACCAGCTGGTCAGTTAATCCTACTCTTCTAGTAAATCTAGGTATAAAATAATACAATAAGAACAGGATAAAACAGTATTTTAGCCTAATTGTAATAGTATCAGTAGTAGCAGCAATAGTAAATAGCAATATTGTAGTCAGTCTAGGTCAAGTGAAATTTATGTGATCAGAAAACATCAGAGGAAGAAGACAGAATGAGGATTTTCAATTGCAAAAGGTTAGGACAAACATCTAACTTGCCAAGTAGCCAGCAGCGACTTTATTTGGGTTATTTATTATTATAATGACTACATATAAAGATTTTTCTTTTACATCGTATTTAGCAATTGGGAGCAAATGGTCCAACGTCCTGGTTATATGCCTTCTTTGACCTGGATCTATGCAAAGGTTTCCCTATAGAGACACCCAAACATTTCTCAAAGCCCAGTCACTGAATCGAAGTTAGATAATATTTTAACTCAAATTTTCATGTGTTATTTGAAATAATCTTCCCTCTAGACTTTTAGCATTTGATTCTCTGCTCTTTATGACTTGTTTCATTTTAATTCTTTATTTATGTCTTAATTTTTATGCCACTGTAGCACCTCAATTTGTCGTATCACGTGTATTGCCTTTTTTTTTTCCTCTAAATTATCGATTGTGTTGAATAACTAACTAAAATTCCTCTCAACTGTTTTCTGAAATCCCAGTCTCCTTGTTTCCTCAATGTCCTGACTCCAATCTGTAACAGTCACTATTATCTAGAGGTTTGGGTCCTTCAGGCAGGAAAGAAAACATGGAAATACTTTGAATAAGTCTTACAGGTACCCTGGATGCTTCACAACAGCAAACACACAGATCACTAGACAGCTCTTGGCTATTGGTGATCAGAAGAATTTTCCAGCAAGCCCATTAACACAACTTCAGTTCTGTTCCCATCACCCTGATAATTAAAGGACATCTATCTCGATAGTCCTGTGAGAGACACTGGTAAGATTTACTATCCACCAGCAGTCTTCGCATAGAGGGGGGTGTCACTTTTAATGCCATTTTGCCCCTTCTTCTGTACTTCCTCGTATCTCCAGCTTCCAGCTGACAGAAAAGGAAGATGCAAATACCAAAACTGCCTTGTTGATGCAGGAGAAAAGACAACCTCAGTTTGTCACAGCTCAATAGGCTACCCAGAAAAAGGCAAATGAAAATCAACACACAATCCTGACTTGGGCGTGATGTCAGGAACAGATTCAAAACAGACCTTGATATCTATTTACCTTTAGAACAGAAGGCCCAACATTTCCCACCCCAGAGAGAGCTACTGAGATGTTATCAACTGCAAGCAGATATCCCATACCATATGGGATCAAGTTTCCTACTCCTGACTTTAAAAGAACCCAAACATAACCAAAGAAAACCAATTGAAACAAAAAAAAAAAAAAAAAAAAAAACAAACAAAACAAAACAAAACAAACAAAAAAAAACCAAACCAACACAAACTTGGGTGTCTGCTGATGCATTCAGTGCCCCAGAAGACAAATGATAGCAAGGTGAGGTATCGAAGAGTCAACCAGTCCCTAGAGAAGGTGGAGGACCCAGTGCCACTGATTCCCGAGGAGGTTGGGGGTGTTTTCCTTGTTTTCAGACAGTCCTCCTCTTTGGTTTACATCGCTATTCTTCCCCAAAATTAAACGCAAAACCTAAAAAGAGGCCGGGAAACCAGGAAACGTGTTGCTACAGTATATTCTGCCACAAATCACTAATAACTGCTAAAACACTAAGGGGATACTTCATACTATTACTTTCTCTCAAAGAAAACAGCTGAAGTCTTACCAGTGGCCGAGATTGCTATTTTGGAGACTTTTCAGATGTTACGGACATCAATTACTAACAGAAAAGCAACTTTAATAGTTTACAGTTCACAAAGAACTGAAGTCAAATGAGCGTTCAAAGAGCTTATATACAAAATGATAGTCTGAAACATCAAATACAATGCAGAAAGTGCCGTATGATTTATTGGCATACTTTCAGAATTACTAAAAATAAGTCTCAGAATTGGCTTTAAGATACTTATGGAGGATGAAGAAAGAACTATTATAGGGGAAAGTTACGTTGTAGCTCAACGTTTTGGTAAATGAGGACAATCATGGATTTTTACTTAATTTTTAATAAAGGTAGAGTATTAACTAACACTTTTACAGAAGTTAAAATCAGCTTCATAAACTATAATCTGAATGGCATTGCTAATTTTTAGGTGAAAAATGATACCTGAGGGAGGAATTCAGTGATGAAATTTTTTTGTTTCTTTTTTAAATTGCTTAAGGATACATGGTGATCTTGTTTAATAACAAAATTTGCAGAAAGAGAAAAGGCTTTGGCAACTTTAAGAAAAAGTCTCACAGGCAACATAATAAACAGTAATGTTAAATAAAGATCAGAAGTTCAAAGCAAATTATATTTAAGTTAAGCATGAAACAATGCTGACTTAATTTTAATAATAGTTCTGTGAAAGCAACGTCAATATACTGATCACCATGAAAGATTTCTAACTACTAATGCACTAGGTAAGACTGAGGAAAAAAAAAAAAAAATTAATATCACAAACAAAAAGCAGCTCAATTCCATGTGCTGGTTTCTGTGTTCTACAAAACCCCAAAACCACTGTCTTACTGTTGAGCTATGATCCCATCTTTGCTATGAAATTCCAGAATCATTTCCCAATATTTTGCTAAACACCCTCTTAGGCTATAAGACTGCCAGACTGCAGTGAATCTGATGTGCTCAGAATATGAAACACCTAGGACGTGCTGTAACAGAGATGCCACTGAAAAACACTGCAATAAAATGATGAGTTGACTACGAAGTCGTCCCAGAGTAGTAACTTTCCCCCTGGACAGAGGAGAACTCATTAATGTGACAATCCAATCATTATTCCCACCCACCCCCTGTCCCAAACCCTCCTCAGCCACAACCTCAACTCCCGACAGATCTATTCGAACCGAGCCCTCCCTTCTCCTGAGTCAGGACGGAACGATCCCTTTCCCTGGCATGACTCACTCACATCTCAGTGACCCACCCACACTCCCGAGTCTACTTCTGGTGCAGCGAAGAGAACAAGGGACCGCTCCATGGCAACGAAGCGCAAAAATTACAGAGAGTGCACAGTCTGGAAATGTGAAATATTTGCTTTGGTGGCTGCCATCAGCTCTACTTTCCACAGCCTTTAGATGCAGTCAGCCAGCTGATAAATACACATGAAAAATGTATATAAGGCATGTTTTTAAAGGAACAAAATATACCAACTCCGTGCCTGGTGTTCTGTGTTCATGGGTAGATGCGTGAACATGGGAGTGACCTCCATTCCCATGCTCACATCCCTTCTGCTCAGCACAAGAAAACATCAGAGCATTCTTCAGACATAAGATATGGATATTGCACCGTGGAAATAACATAAAACAGCTTATTTGGGAGCAGAGCCATGACATCACCTACTCTTGAAAGCAAACTCATCCTCTTCCTTAGTGCTATTATTCACACCCACAGAGAAGTAAAACGCCCCAGCGCCTGTTTTCAGTGTACTTCAGTATAAAAGTCTCAACTAAACTGCAAACAATATTCCTGCTTCCACTTAACTCTGGATTCTTCTGGTTTCTTAAGAGACATGTACTGCTCTAAAGCAAAACAAAGCCTGCGGGCAGAGAGAAGGGTGGATAGGACACACACTTGGTAGATGCTTTTCCTGCATCCAGACACTTTAATCCAAGACTCCGTGGCAAACAACCCACTATCCTTCCACAGCAGAAGGGGGTCAGAGAAGTCAGGAAAGTCAGTACATACAACCCCACTCCAATCACGAGGAGCTGAAGCACCAGCAGTTCTTTGAGCTTACCGTTCTGGGTAAGTTTTGTTGAACAAACTAGAGTAGAAATCTGGAAAGAGTCTTTGCTGATGGTGCAGCTTCCGAGGTTCTGCATGCTCTTCCCAGTTGCAGAGTGCCCCTTCTCCTCCAATTCTATTTTAGTGGATGGAAGACTTAAATATGTCGAGGCATCCTCCAGTTTCTTTGCTTCTGCCTACAGTGGTGTTTTAAATACAACATGAAACAATTCAAAAATATCTAGTAAAAAACCTTAGTGATAATAAAATTTTATTATTTACACTGGATTTGCTCAGGTTTGCTCCAGCATTGGAGCTATCCAATGAGTCTTTAACAACAGTAATTTAGCACTAAGCTGTCTACAGATTAGAGCCAAGATGTGATAAAGGGCTGCAGAAGCAACTTTTCCCAGCCATGAAAATCCACATCTTATAATGAAACTCAGTAACAAGTGCATTTGAAATTAAAACATCCCTGGCAAAACATATTTAAGGTTTAAGAATCTGCCAAATACACAAATTGCACAGTACTTGCTATTTAGTTGCTTGATCTAACAGAATAGTCTACAAAACATTTTTCTGTGCAGTTCTGTAACAGTAATTCACTCAGTGTCAGTCAGCTGAGCTAGCCACTATGGAAAGACTGAAGTATATCAAAATTCTACCTTGTAAACTATAAGGTCATGTTCTCCATCTCTCAAAGTTGTTCCATCATATCTCATGAGCTTCACAAATGCTAGGGCAAATATTTTCTCAGATTTATCTTTGGCTGTTGTGAAAAAAAAAAAAAAATATACAAACACGCAAAAAAAGAAAACACCGCATAATTAAGTATTTGATACTTAGACAGACGGTTCACCTAAATCTCAGAAACATGGATAACCTGTAAATGAATGAACATAGTAAAAATTCTTAGTTGGAGAAAGTGTACAAGAGATTAAGAGAGTCTTCTAAACGCAAGACAGAACCAAAACAATGCAAAATAAATGTGTAAGAATCTGACCACACCAACAGTAACTAGATGTTTAATGCTTCTATATTCTGTCTGTTGTTTTAGAAAGCTGGACTAAGGCAAAATTTTACAATTTTAAATTTTAAAACCAAAACAGAAATTTGATGCATTTATAACATCCAGGTTTTTAGGAGTTAGAAGAACGGTAGTGCTTGGTACCTAGAATAATGATTTAAAGACCAGCACTGAGGATCTCATCAGGGCTCTATCATTTGGAGAGGGACAATTAGAACTAGAACAGAAACTGGATCCATAACCACAGATGAAGTGCCTAAATATCTGAAAGCTGACCCACTCTACAACGAACATGTACTAGAAAATGCATGCAGTTTGCTCTCATTGTTCAAAATCTATTATCAGAAGCTAAGTAAAAACAAAGCAACAGGGCAAGTAGAAATCACAAAGTAAGTTAAGAAGTAAAACTAGCATGAAAGTGCAAATCAACTTGAGATAGCTCAAGGAGCCCATGAAAAAGCCTTGCAGGCCTAAGGCACGGCCTCTATTTAATATTTAAGCCATGGCCAACCTAAATCTTTGAGTCATCTTAAAAGTATTTCTCACTCTAGTAATCTATAGCGCACAATTGTAATTTTGACACTGATGACCCTGCTTTTCAGTATATTTTTTTCATTAGCAAGTATCATTCTCTAAACTAAGTAAATCTTTTATTAATAACCAATTTGCAAAATATACAGCTTCAATTAAATAACCACTATGGGGTAATGTAGTGTATATTACACACATAATATACATTAATATTACACATCTTAAAATGCATACAGTGGACACTTCCCCATGAATACTTTTGTCTACACATTTGTTCTACAACAAAAAATTTTGCTGCAGATTTAGGAAGGCTTTCCTATCAAAAGAACCAGCCCTTGTAATCACTATATAGAAAGCACATTATCACAACGAAGAAATCCCCAAACTTTACTGCAAAACAACTGTTGACAAATGGAAGATGTCTAGCTGTCTTGATCTGATCCTCAACAGTTCAAATCATCTCAGCTGCCAGCAACATTACAGGAAAGCCAAGGAAAACCACAAGCTCTCAAATATCTTTGAGACAAAAATTACTTCAAAACAACCACAAGTCAGTCTGAGAACCAGAAGCAGAAACAAAGGCTCTTAACAGCTAAGTCTTCAACTACTGATGCTAAGCCTACTGTAAACTCTTTCACACTCCCATTTCACACATAGGGTTGTTAAGTATCTTTACTACTCCCTACACACCTACTCTAAGGTATATACTACCACAGACCCTTCCAGTCACTGACTGAAAGCTTTATTCACTAGCCCTTTTATTTGACTTGGAGAAATAACTGGGCAAGAAAGGGAAAACTTGATATCAATAGCTAAGAGTGAAAAAGATGTAAAGGGCAAAAGAAGCTGAGATGCTAACATAAAACAATCAGGTAAAAAAAGTTATCTGCACACTGAAAGCAATTATAATGGTGAATTACAGATTAGGAGCATTATGCCTGTTTCAGCAGATTTTGGCACCAGACACCGACAAGAACCGTAATGAAAAGGCTGAATTACTTACAGTCCTGTGATGATCTATGACGGAATGTGAACCTTAAATGACTGCGGTTCACATCTTCGATAGGGATTGCGACCTTCACGTATTGGGGAAGAGGACAAAGAAAGAAAACAGTCAGTACAGGATCTTCAAACATCAGCAACCACTACCAAATCTCATGTGGACATCTCTCAACAATATGCTTGGCACTTGCAAAAGTACCAGCTTCATTTTGCCACAGAAGACCTTGAAAGGTCACAGATTCCCCAGGAAAATCACCAATTCTTGCACCGAGAAAGAGAGAAGGAGCAAAGCAAGCCTGTTAAGTTACCCCACAAGATCTGCAATTTCATATGATGGGCTGTAAGCTCAAAGCCTCCCTGACCATTCTCCCCAGCTCAGGAATGAGCCCCTCTTGAGTTTGACTGGTAGAGATGAATCTGATTATCAACAACAGCAAAGTAAAAATTCTTAACATATCTATTATCTACGCAACACTTGTACCACATTTACTGTCAGTGTTATCTCCGATCCCCACGTAGCCAATGTGCAGAGATGTAACCACTGCTCTTCTCCCCCAATATTTTTGCTACAGACGTAGTATTTTCTTAAATTACACCCACGTTCAGGCTCTGTGCAGTACATTGTTCCCCAACACCATGTCTAGGTTTCTGCCATTCCCTAGCAGCCACTGTCTACAGGTGCAACAGCAGCACCTTTGGACTTAAAATGACAGTGCAGGGAGTAGCTCTAAGTCCCTTCTCAGTACAAATATACTGTTCCCACTGACTACAGCTAAACAGTATATATTTTATAAAGCTAACATCAGCCAGCCTCCTCTGTAATATTAAAACTTGGCATTTAAGCTAAAATGTTATTACCCAAGCAAATTCAGCAAGCTTAAAGGACAATCAGCCAGATCCCAAAACACAGATGAGTTCAACACTGTGGCAATTTTGTTTTAACCTTAATATATCCTGCTCCTCTAGGTCAGCTCCATGGAAATCAGAGAAAGCTATTTCTAAACAAGTGTTGGAGTGCCCTTGTAACAGTTCTCTTGACCAAAAGGATGAAATAAAATTCATTATGCAATAAAAGTCAAATCTATTTTCCAGCAGTCTCTAAAAGACTTCCTTAGTCGAGCTATTCTTTTTGTCCTGCTAAACACGATCACAAGCATTGACTTTCCCTAGTTTTGTTTCTCAAGGCTTTCCGCTGAAATCTATATTAATTGCATATTATCCCACACAGAAGTTATTGTAACAGTTTATATACCTTTACAGTCTCAAACCAGCGAGGCTGCTTTACTTGGTAATATATTACTGACTTGTACTCCGAGATGGCTTCATCACCAGCGCCAGGAAAAATAACACTCTTGCAAACACAAACAAAAGAGAAAATGTTTATGTCTATCTTAAACTCCACTTTTTCATTCAAATAAACATCAACAAAAAATCATTAGTGAAGCAGGTCAAAATAAGACAGGACAGCCCATGCTCAGAGTTCCTCATGAAATTAGTATCAAAGTGCAGGAACTGATATGACGAGATGTATTTAGTTATGACAGAGGTGAAAGTTTTGTTGTACATAAAAACAGGGACTTCAGTTGACAAATATAGAGGAAGCTATTGAAAAGACTTACAGATATGTATCAAAACTAAAAAAAAAAAAAAAAATACATTGAATGCTTTAATACCTCTAATCTTTTGCCATCTTCATCATAAACAGATACTGTAACTTCTACATTCTTTGCTGTTGTTTTGCTGCCTTTGTCAAAATCTCCCTGAACCAATGTTACATAGATGTCATTACGAACATCACCTAAAAGAAATAGTACAAAGTTCTTAGTAACTTTTACAGTATACCTATTGATTTGTGAAACCAATGATATATAAACAACCAGCAGATTTTAGTAACAGCAATCATACATGCACACGGCAAAACATTTAAAAGCCACAGTATCTGCAATATTCAAAACGAATAGTACTGAAAACAGCTGTTTAGCTAAAATTGTGGTAAGACTTCTGAAGTCTAAACTATCAACTCATAGTGCAGCAAGTTGAATCTAACAAAAAAAAACCACCCAGACATTATTTCCAGACTGAAAGAATACCACATCATAAAGTGTATGCACCGTATCACTCAAACACCTCAGTTCCACCTTTTTTTTTTTTTTGTTTTTGTTTTTTAAACACAACTTCTTTCACTTCAATTTGAAACTACGAGTTTTAACACAGTCATTACTTTATCCCATACACAGATATTTTGCAATTTAAAAATATTTAAACAGCCTGTAGAGGTCTGTTTAACTTGTTACATAAGGAAGTGGTTTGATATTCTTGCTGGCTTCGGGGTTGCGGGGGAGAGTTGTATTTAGCTTTATATCTTAAAATCCTCTTCAACTACACCCCAATTCAACTGAAATTTTGAAAATGAACTGGGGAAACAGGGGACTTCCAGTAACTACATGAGGCAGATGGTTTACATGCCAGCATACAATCATGACAAGCAGAGGCGCTGAGGCACTTACACCATACTGCATATATAGCAAAATATCTGACAAGCACAGACTCAGCAACCACAGGGAGAGCTGGAACTGGGATGGGGTTTGAAAATATCTAATGGATCCTCCAGAGCCCATCAATCTGAAAAGGACAGTGCGGGGTTTTTTCTGTAGTTTGTTGCTTATGGCAGTTTTCATTTTGAGAAGCACCAATGCTTTGAGGTTTTTTTCTGTAAACATCAGAATTGAAGATCCATGGAATATATGTATTAAAAACAGACAATATGGCTTTCTTTCAAATACGTTATCCAAATCTAGTACAAAACATAAGAGACTTTTCAGATCTCTAAATTAACACTGTTCTTCTGAAAAATCTCTCTAGTTTGGATTCATCAGGAGACGCAAGTTGCTGCCCCTGCTAAGGAGATAATAGGAAATGTGTACTTCGTATACATTTTACTTCACTGGAAAAAGAGAAGAATTTCCACTGTCACTGTGACATCATATATTTTGGGGTGGAAGGCTTCTTAAGTTTTATTTATTGATGCAGCACATGTGGCAGGTATTAGTAAAATATTTTAGGTTGGTTTTTTTTTTTAAATGAGACAAAATCCTTTGTTAATGTATACCATAAATTCATCTGGGTTTTTTGTCCCCAAAGCTTCCGTACATACAGATATTTAAAGATGGTTAAAATATAACAAAGCAGCATTAATTCACACAATGGCTTACCAGGCATAATAATCTCAGGAAACCCCATCTTCCGAGCCACGGCTGTTGACCTATCCACTAAGTGTGGAAACTCTTTCCTAATCTGATGAATATCTCCTGGAAGAAGTTTCAAAGTCACCCACAAACCTGTTGCATAAAAACCACAATTATAAAACCGGTGGGTTTTTCTCTAGTTACTGAAGATTTATTTTTACACATTCTAAAATGTAAGAACATGCATTACTGTAACTGCTCTTCATTTACAAAAAATACACTTTACAAAGTATTTTAGAACACTCAAAAAAAACCTCCACAGCTTCAAGCAGAAACATGAGTGCAGCACACATAAGCACGTCTGATTATATCAGACTTTCTGGAAAACTGTATAAAATCCTCACCTGGAAGCTGACTGGCTAATAAAAAAACCTGGGAAATTGGAGATCTAGGCAAAATAAGGGCTCAGGCCTTTGTACTGTGCACTTTGCAGCAGCATCTAGAAGGCGTCTTGGCAGGGAGGAGTTAGGCAGGTGTTCAAAAACAGATGCATGTAGCTTCCCTCACATGGGCTTGTGAAAGCCAAAAATTTTATTCACAGTCTAAAAACTTCAATACAACGGGTCTCCATGTAGAAGAGAGCAAGACAGGGAGATGGAAACGCTTGGTTATCAGCCAGAGCTACTGAAGCCTGGACTGTGACAAGGCAGGCAAGCCTGCTGTGCCCATGGCACGAAGCTGGAGTGACCCGAGAAGGATCCCTCCTCCTCGCAGAACCAGGCTTCTCTTAGCACTGAAATCTTCCAGAAAGGGTCTCGTGGAAATACAGTTATTAAGCCATTAGCAGAACTGCCTCGAGCTTGTATCTCTCCTTTGAACTCTCGCAAGCTCTTTCTAATGAAATGTTTATCTTCCACAGGAAGAAAGAGAAGAAGCAATGCTGATTTGAATGGAAAAACTTCAGTATTACTATTACAACCAACCAATATCAAGATGCCAACAAAGGCAGCGCCAACAGCAGAGACATGCCCTGAATTGATTCATCACCACCACCCCTCTAAGTTGCTTTTACTGCACTGAGCACAAAGGAATCTACAGCATCAGCTTTACACCATTGACATTTTTCTCTTCAGTAGGAGAAGCAGCCACTAAAAAGCTGCTGCTTGCCAACTAACATCAGGCACACTTGTTACAGCAAAAGAAAGATAACAAAGTTAAAAAAAAAAAAAAAAGTAGTCTTACTTTTGGGAAAGTGACTGGTAATCAAGTTTAAGCATGAAATAATTACAGCAACAATTTGCAGAAGAAAATCCTAAAAGTAAAATCTATGAAAATATCCAAAACACAGTCATCTAGAAACCAAATTGTGGGTTATCCTGTTACACACACAAATAAATATACATTCATTTTGTATATATTTTGCAGCTAGCTTTCTTTTTGATTGAGATCTCTTAAAAAAAAAGGCTATATGCTGACTTGTTGCCAGACACGGTTCTAACAGCTGCTATTTCATTAAACAGTAACCGTACCTACACTGACTGGCTAAACAACAACTCTCAATCCTCTTCTGTTTGCTTGGGTGCTTTCTTAGGGAAAAAAACTGAAATGGATCAAAACAGCTGAAATGTTTCCCTCCTCCTCCATATACATTGGCTGCAGGTGAAAACAGGGTGGGAAAGAAGATCTAAGTTTCCCTCTTTAGCTAGTGGATAATTTTTAAAAAGCTTGTTTAGATTTTGATTTGTTATTAATTAGTAAAAATCAAATATAAATGTATATATAAAAATAATCATATATATATACACAGACACATAATTTTTCTTGGGTCTACTGTGCAGATCCCCCCTGTAAGTGATACAGATATTTCACATACAGTGTTTGGTGGAAACTCTGCATCAGCCTGCATAACACTTAATCCAGACTCAAAAAAAAACACTGAGGCCAGTACAGTAATAAGAAGTGAGTTGTGTGAAGGCTCAGTTCACTGGCAGATACATTCTGATCATGAAGTGTTGTATACAGACACACACAAAAAAAAACCCAAAACCACCCAGATTTTGGAATTTCCACGTCAGCGGAGCATACGCTGTGTTAGGAGCAGTGACACGAGCACCCCAAGAAAGGGCAGCAGCGGGGTTGCCGTGCTCCAGCTCTGTCCTTGTCACCTCTGAGCTCAGGCGGGTGCGGTGCTGGCAGGAGCAATGCCCTGGTCTTCTTGAGAGGGAGCCAAACGCTGCAAGCACAGCTGAGAAGTGGGAAAAGAAAACGAAGGAAGGGAAGGAAGAAAATAACCTTTCCTTCAACGTGAGGAGGCCAAAGCCCACAGCTCAGGGACACGAGAGTCGATTCCCTGAGACGTCACTTCCAGTACAGAAAAGAAAGATGTCCAAGTGATGGGCAATACAGAGAAAGGACAGACAACCTGTAGAGTTAACGCTGGGGGGAGGGAAGTTTTAGGCAGGGGGGGAACAGCAGAATGAGTCCTGAAGGATGGGGAAGAGGGAGAACAAACTGTGCAAACACCTTTTCTGTTACCACACAGCAGTGAGCAAAGTGAAGGTAATATTATGCACCCTTGATTCCAAAATTAAAATAGCAAATCGAGCGATGAGCAGTTTTAGGTACACCGGTGTATATAAAGAACAGTACATACCCTGACCCTTGTGGTTAACTTCTTTAGCAGCAATCACTTTGTTTATAACAGTCTGAAGGAAATCATTCTCCCCTGCCACCCTGGGTGAAAAACGGGATGATATGTTCAGCTGCTTGTGTCGAATGGCGTCATCCAACGCTAGCCTGGAGGATGCACATGACGACCAACACCAGGAAACAAAGGGTCACAGAAAACCAGAAGTCACAGTAACAAAGGGAACACACAAGATCATATCATAGTTGTGACAAAGAGTATATATTAGTCAACGCAAGACAAAGGACAGGAAAGGTAACAAGAAAGACAGAGGAAGATCATTAATCAGAAGAATGCTGATCTACCACAGAGAAGTACAGCACACCTGCATTGTTACCTCTCCCTTCAGGGACATGCATGCACAGGCCCCAGTAACACTTGGTGAGGCCAGGAAGGATGTTTCCCGCCTGAAAATCCTCTGTTAAGCAATGCAAACCTATACAGGCAGTTTTCTCTTTTATATATATATATATATATGTGTATATAGCAGACTGGCCCTGCAACACCTCCAGGGTCACTTCTGTCATTCTATAGGTTAAGCAGCAGTGCATACCGTCTGAAGGAAAAGCTACTGTAAATCTCACAGAAATGGCATAGGAGAAGAAAAGCAGATAATCCAAACACTCTGTTAAACTTGATGAATAAATGAAAAGATGGAAACTATAAATAAACAGCAGCATTAAGTGTCATTTAAGTAATCTCGCCAAGTGTTTTTGACAGCCATTGTGTTGGTGGCTAGTGAGTGAATACAAACAAAGATATGAAAACAGAATTGCATGTGGTACAACAGAAGCAAAGCATGGGATGAGGAGAAAAATGTGGCTCATATATACAGCCTAAGTCTACGTCGGAAACAATGACACCAGTATTCATCGCGTGTTTTCACATTATTCATATTCTTTGGAATATACTATTTCAGAAGAATGTTTTAATTTAGTACGGGGGGAAAGAAGAAATCACATTGTACATCTCTTCAAAAAGCTGATTTATACATACAGAAAAAAATAAATCAGTGTTAATGGAGCAGAAAACTAGATGTTCCATTAGCATCCACTTTGATACAAAGATTCATTTTCATTGCATACTTCCACACTCACTAAAAAATAAGCTTGCTATTGTTTACCACACAATAATCATAACATGAACACACTCTTCCCTAAAAACCCCTGTTTTCCTTGAAAAATGGAATTGTACTTCTGATTTCTGCATTAACACCCTCTACACCACTCCAGCGACACTGCCGCATACAAATGAAACCATTTCAGACACGAGGCATACCCGCGCCTGCAGACCTCGCGACCCTCTCGATAGCCCTGCATCTTCAAACCACAGGAGATTCCTGAATTAAGCCTATTTTCCAAAATGAAGTTAAATGGAGATTATATTATTTCAATCTTTTTTTTTTTTTGTATTAAAAACCTCCTGGATATCCATTAGTATATTAATCAAGGAATTCAGTTAACGTAACTATGTTTCGCCTTTTTGAACAGATGGCAGTCTAACATTTCACACAATGGGAAAACTAAGCATTGCTATTTTATGTACATTTGACTTATCTGTTCTACCTTTCCCCATTTCATGGAATTAAAAAAAAACAACATATGAACTATGGAGGGAAGAGAATTTGCCACACATTCCCTTTTTTAATAATATTTTACGTCTAAAAGCACCTTCTCTGCACATACCTACATAATTCACAAAAATTCAGGCGGTTAAACCCATACTTCTTAAAATGATTTTGTGGCTTGAAGTCAAAACTGATCTTTGATTTTATGTTAAATTCACACATGGCCGTACCTTAAAGAGCACCAACTTCATATTTGCTACTAGTTAATTTCATTATTGAAAGTAGTATCTGTCAAACCCCGTATCAGCAACCTTAGAGTCACTGTGGAAAGGTCTGCAGTCTTCGATGACTAGAAGTAAAGACCAGCTCCATGCAGCAGACTGGTCTCCTTGATTCTGTGGACCAGCTGTAACAGGTACATGCAGCAGACACCCTCTCTCTTACCATCCAACCCAAATTAAAAGTCTCACACAATAAAGTTGAATTATGAGAAGATATTGCAGGAGGTGTATCAAGCCATCCTTCAAACTCTCAACTTTTGTTTGTACTCCAATTACCGTGGCCCCTACTATGAAATTATATCTGCTACCAAGAAAAAGATAAATGTTATCATTTACGAATTTCACAGAAGTCACATGCAGTGGATGTTGGTAACGATGCTGGTCTTCAATCTCAGGCAGAGCTAAACCAGCAATGTACCTATTTTAAGCATTTCACTTCTTACACATTATCACCCTGACATGTTTAAACAAAAAAGAAAACAAGACTGAAAAACTGGAGATGCATGCTTTAAGCTCAAGACTGAAAAAAAATAGGGATGAGGCTATCGCTATTACATCTAGTGGGAAGTTATCAAGTATTAGTAAGTACTACTCAAGATAAAATATCACACTGAAATAAATTAAATTCAGAATATCTATACTTCTTCCAGTCAAGTTTTTTTTTTTCTTTTAAATGAAAGTTAAAATCTTAATTCTTTCACTTCTGCTTGTTCTTTAAACTATCCCCAACTTACGGTTGAAATGGTATGAAGTGCTGTTTGTCCTCATCGTCAACTTTTCCGTTAATTATGTCAGTAACATCCATTACTGAAAAATAAAAAAAAAAGTGTACTAAATTAATTGATCAACATGGGAAGAGGGGTGCTGAGGGAATACCCTGGGGGACTGGATGCAATGGTGACTCAGAAGACAGATGGAGTTATCAACGGTGCAAGTTCAGAATTTTCCTATAGCATAACATCATGCTGCAAATAACCTTTGGCATCTCTCGCTAACGTAAGTCCTGGAAGCTCCAGTAAATGCAGCAATCAGTCTGATTAAACATGGAACAATTTTGTGTTTATACAACCCCACAGGAGTTTCACACGTGCAACTTCCTATGCAAGAACATAAGGTGATATAGACAGGTATGGTGCACAGTTACCTGCTACTCCAAAAGGTCGCCGCAGCCCAGAGGTTAGTTTTCTCGTGTTGTTGTCTCTCAGCTCCATTCTGCCCACTCGCACAATCTGACAGACAAAACTGATTTTCTCTCTTTTCAGGTCTTTGCTGCCCAGGTCCTAGAAATCGTAGTTTCTTCAGATTACTATATAATAATTGAATTTCAAGTTCTATTTTATTAGGCAGAACATTTGCTGCTCAGCATTTGCTTTTCCCTTACTAGACTCTAGCACCAGAGCAAACTCTTCTCAGAGTAAAGGAGTTTTTGTAATAGTACTTAAAAATCTTATCTTGACTTCTGTGTAAATTAATTGCTTAGGAGGCCAAATCATTTCTAGTAAGTTAAAACTTAAGAGCAACTTTGGTTTTAGCCAGGTAGCGAGAATATTTAGCAGTCAGTTATGAAAAACGTTTCATGCAGGCCTTCCCCAGATTCATCACCTGCAGAGGTAACTCTACACTGCTTACATACAGTTGTTTACATTCTTCGGTTAGTCACAAGATATGAAACAATTGCTTTAAAATTTGCCAGCTGAACCAAGCGCGCACACTTACGGTAAACACTGCTCGAAGGTTATGCAACCTGTCTATATCTTTGGGGAGTCCACAGCTTGACCATCGCACCAAATAGTTTTCACTGAAAGAACAATATTTTGAGGACTTTCTGTTTAAATGGCTTCCTTAAACATAAGCATATAAAATCAACTTCAGTATTTACAGAAGACTATTTGAAATCCAATCTACTCGTCCTAAACAAATTTATATTTACTTAGTGGAGAGCTGGCATTTCTCTTTCTGTGTATCATTTATAAAAAGAAAGCAACTCCTCAGCAACAAAAGGTAAGAATTTCTTTAAGGAAGCAGGGCACGTAGAAATTGAACTCTCAGATGAGTGCCAAGGCTGCTGCTACACATGGGGGGAAAGCTTTGCAGGTGTGTTCACATCTCATTTAAGCTCTGCACTCTGGGTACCACAGGCACAGTGCGATGAGCAACAGCACGACCCCAAAACCTACCCAAGGTGAAGACACTTGCCCGATGCTGTGCTGAACAGGACAACAAAGTGCTGCTGCACTGTTCCTTCCCAGACGACCCTGTCCTATGCCTTTCACAGAAATATGACCTTCATAAGCCCTCTCACCCTGCTACTATAACTGAGTAAGAACGGATTAGGCAGTACACTCAGGCGTACACTAACCTGATAAATTTTGATTCCAGTGGATCATACAGAGACATCAGGACTTCGGCATCTTCTCCTATTTTACAGACCACATTTTTTAAATTTACAAATAAAGCAAATGAAGGAGTGGCAGCAAATTTGGCTTGTCTGTTGATATCAATATTCTGTTTCTGAGACTGTAATTCAAGAATAGAAGAAACTTCAGTTTAAGTTGGCCTTGCATTTTCTGGATCTGTCTTGAAGGAAAAAAAAAGACAGACAGACCCCAAAAGAAGACAGACCCCAAAAGAAGACAGACCCCAAAAGAAGACAGACCCCAAAAGAAGACAGACCCCAAAAGAAGACAGACCCCAAAAGAAGACAGACCCCAAAAGAAGACAGACCCCAAAAGAAGACAGACCCCAAAAGAAGACAGACCCCAAAAGAAGACAGACCCCAAAAGAAGACAGACCCCAAAAGAAGACAGACCCCAAAAGAAGACAGACCCCAAAAGAAGACAGACCCCAAAAGAAGACAGACCCCAAAAGAAGACAGACCCCAAAAGAAGACAGACCCCAAAAGAAGACAGACCCCAAAGGAGAAAAGGAAATGTGTTCACATATTAAAGAGAGAGCTAAACAAATAGAGGAAGAGATAGAGCCCCAAATATATCTGAAAATATATAGCCAAAAAAAGGAAGCTTGTTCTTTGCTTTGTCTGATGTTCTTCTAACAATTACAGAGTGACAAGAAAGACAGGAGAGAAAACAGTGCCATTTCTACAGGTTACCCACCCCTCAGACTTTAGCTTCCCAAAATTTCCCACTAACTACTTTATCTAGGCAGAAGGGAGGAATGCACATGGGACAAAAAGGGAACTGGCTGAGGCAGGGACAAAGAAACAACTTGGGCTGCAAAAACTTAATAGTTTAAATCCCATTTAAACTGGTGTATTTTTACACCAAATTTGCTAAGGGCTGCAAGGGTGTGTATGGCCCATTACAACGCAACAGGACGTAGTAATTCATTAAGTTGTACTAATGCACTCGTGAGCAACTCCTCGGGAACACCATGCTCCACTAACTTCTGCTGACATGGGCAGGACTCCTTACAACAGAAATATTCTTCCTTTTAAGATTAAGGATTTGAATTGCAAAGATGATGCCTAATCAAGTCTGAGAATGCCTTTAAATTTGTCCCTTTTATTTCAACCAATCTTCAGGATTGGCTTAGAGAAATCATACACACACAGCGAGTGTATTATTCTACTTGATTCTCAACAATAAGCTCTCATGACAACCTGACATACAAACCTGGTACATATGCGTCTCTGATACTGACATACAAATGTAGTAAACTTATTGATATAGGTCTTAACCACAAATTCTACTAAGCCCTTTAAAGGATGAAAGGCAATTAAACAGCCTAAAACATACAAGTTCTTCCAAAATGTTTAAGCCCGATAACTCTTCATAAACGTATCAAATTCTTCATGCCAATGCTAAAAATAAGTTACCTAGTTAGTTTACAGTCTTACGTTTCAAAGGGAAAAGCTACAGTGCATAGTATAACTTACTTTTTCCTCCTGTAGCCTCTCTTCAACTTGCTTGGAAGCTATTTCATGTGCTCTGAAAAGGCTAATCGTGCTTGTCTGCTCTGGGTCCAAAATATTGCCATCTTCATCTCTAACAACCAGATCTAAATCAAGAATTCTAAACAAACCAAAAAAATATGCTTGTGAATTAACAATGCTCCAATAAATGCTTAAAAAACACCTGCCAAGTGTTTAACATTAATGTCATGCACACCTGACATACGGTAGGAAAAAAATTATTTGATACTTGACAAAACAATTTAACATGTCACCAACCCCGGAGATAACCATCCCTGGCTGGAAGTTGCTTCTTCCCACAGCACAGAAAAAAACGATGTAAGTGAAATAGCAGAACAGCTGGAGTAGTAATTTCTTAAACAACTAAATTTGCAAGAGACTTTGTCTTTTGACAGTTTGAACACACAACTACTACTGCCACACCACATGCAAACTGGTCAGTCCATTTTGTCCCACTCCACATTCTCCTCCAAAGCAGGCATATTATGTTTTAGCAAAAACCTGCAGGATACAAGAAGGCATAAGTTGTTTCCCTTTAAATAAAGCAGAAGCCAGATTTCTGTCTGCGGGGTGTTAACGTCCATGATTACCTTCTGCAGAGAAGGAGGTTTCTGCCATAATCAACTCCAGTCTTAGGAAAGAACTTTCCCATTTTTCAGTGTTAGTACAGTGCTGTCAGCAGAACTAATGATTAAAAAAAGGTCAGGTCTAGGCTGATCTACATTTCTCTACCTATCTTCCCTAAGACTGACCTCCTCGCCTCCATTCCAATACATACCATCTCTATTTCCCTCTAACTCTGTAGTCACCTCTCATGACGGAGCTGCTATAACTTTGGTTTTGAAATACATTTGATCAATGAGCTTAAATCAAACTTGCAGTGTCTGATGAGCCACACAGGTTCATGGTTTACCAGAAAGTAAGTCTGCTTTGGCCATGACCCGCAATCACTTGAAAAGAACAGGAGCTATGGCAGAAGACGTGTTTCATGTACTTAGAGCATCACTCCTAACCCCTCCTTGACAAGAGGGAAACCTGGAGGTGTTGAAAAAAGCCTCGATATACAAACCCCTCCAATTAATTACACTGCATTGATTCAAAGGTGGGTGAACATCACTCTGAAGGTAGCAGCTTATTGAGAAACACCTCCTAAACTCTAACCAGACTCAGTCATCACAGAACTCTCTCCAGCATCCCTGAAGCACCAAGCTCCTGGATTAATTTTTCTAGTGAAAAAATGGTTTCATCACTGAAACCAAACGGAGAAGCAGCCAAAAGCATCATGCTCCTCCCTACTACTGTTTCCTGGACAGCAGCCACAGCAGGAGATACACCCACCGACCGCCTGTATCGTAACCGTCACCCCCAGACGAACAAAAGCCAAGTCCTTCCGTAGGAGACACCTGCCTGGACCAGAACAAAAAGTAACTCTGAAATTCAGAGAAAGATTCATCACCCAGCTTACTACCCACCAACAGAACAAGAACTTTTGCAGAGACTGTCAAATAAATAGAAGCAAACACTCCTTTGATTTAATTTCTTTGATTTATCCTTTAACTTGCAAATGGCGCTTGGAAAAAAACCTGTATTTTTTTTCCTAAGTGTCCCAGTTAGATTCTTGCAACTGAACAGAAAAAATGTGTTTTCACAATAAGATTACCTGACCCAATTTCAGGAAAACATTAAAAATACAAATTCATGAGACCATTTTTACTTCCTCGGTTATTTTGACAACACACAGAAAAAAATGTTGTCTTTATTTATAGAGGAAAAAAAAATCTTATTTACAAATCAGTATTTCACAAAACAGAAAAGTTAAGATATGATTAGATCAGAAAAGATTTATAAAACGCATCATGAATTCATTCTGTCTGGATATTGAAATCATCATTCGTGCTTATTTTAGACAAAAGTGAATGTATGACTACATGAGAAACATATGGTATCTTTCAGTTGTGAGTACTTACTCAGAAGTTCAAATTCACTTCCCTCCTGTACTCCACAGAGAATGGTCTGATCACTTAATTAGTCCATCAGAACATTATGAATATAAAACACAGCACAAGATGTTCCATTGTATCTGAACACTGAGCATCTGGAGGTTATTCAGAGTAACTTTAACCAACTCCTTAGCCAGATGGTAAAATACGGTAGCCAAACAAATAATATCAACAACATCTGGCCAATTGTCTACTGAGGTACAACAGTCCATATCTTGGATTATAAATGCTAATTACTGACTGAATGCAGTTACTGATGATTTTTTTTTTTTTTTAAATCACAGCTTTTGCTGATAAAGTGCATGAACAGAAATACTGCAAATTTGGCAGTTCTTAAGGAATATAACACAAATAGCTGAAATCTGATGAGTTATTTACATCACAAGGGATTTAAAGACTGGTTTGATGAAAACTTTTGCAGTCCCCAGGTGCACAGTACTACAACACTGTCTCTCAGTATTCAAAACACTGCTTCAAATAATTTCCTGATTGAAGAGGAAGATATGATTTCTCATTTTCAATCAAAAGGCAAGTCATAACCATATAGACAACTTTTAACCTAAAACTGTATTTTAAAAGATTTTGCTTAAATCCAGACCACTGTTTGGAGAGTTAATACATCTGAACTACTAACATAACTAACGTATGCGACCTACACTGCTGGGTTGGGTTTTTTTGGTAAACATTTCCTTCACGGTTTCTATTTTCTTCTGTTAAATAGGTACTTCCTTTCATTAATCTGTCTGTTAATATTCCGGTACAAGCTGGATACTATATAAGTAGCGGAACAATGAGCTAAATGATGCTTCTGAGCCAAATCCTTCAACATCACATTACAGCTAAGTGACTTCAGGGCACACACAGCTGGTGGTGTTGAGAAGGCGACAACTGTTCATGCTGCAGAAGCAAGTAGAGTTGAAATTGTATTCTGAATGGAGGCAATACTTGCACTTTTCAATTGACCTTAAAAACTACAACTTCATAGCAGTATCAAATTGATACTATCATCAAGCAAGAGAAAGTCTTACATATGGATTCCACTTTACATATTATAACTTGTACTATACTTTAAAGATGCTATATCAAACTTCATTTTTTGTCTTGCTATAACAGGACTGTTACCATACTACTTTTACATCTCCATAAACATAGGAATAAAAGTATCCGGAAAGAAGCTGCTGACAGCTAACATGTATCACACAAGCCGATTTGGTTTTAAGCAAGAACACTTGGAAAATGTTATTCACAAACCTGTTGCCATAATCAATTTTGGCAGTCACTTTCTTTTTCAGTTCTTTCAGCTCATCTTGGGGTAAGGTCCCAGAGAGTATTTGAGATCTCCACTCAATAAGATCATATATCATGTGCCGTACACTGCGAAACATTTCTCTGTTATCTTGCTGTTTGAAGAAAAATGATGGGTAGAAGTCAGTTTTGAAGACTACTGAGCATCTTTGAAATACATATAATAAATTGCAATTATAAAATATGAATTCAAAAGGATAAGAGTCTATAAATAGCTCTAAAATAGGAGCCTAACTTTCTATAGCACAGAACACTGAATATAAAGACTCTTACACTCTGCTTAAGTATCTAAATAAGTGTAAATGATTGTGTTTATGTTACCTTAAAACCCGGATCAAACTGTATTCGGAACAGGCATTCAAGGAAGAGAGATCCTTTTCTTGGTTCACAGAGTATTCAATGACCCTCTATACTGAGTAGGGCAGGACTCAAAATGGTGCATTTTATCAGCAAGAGGCTCAAGTTCTGCAATACACCATCTGCAACACATTACTGAATCCTTTCCCCTCCCTGGTTAAACCTTCAGAATAACACTTTAAAATTCCTCAGTGCGCAAAGTCAAGAGGATCACTAACTTAGGAGTCCACAGGTAACATCTGAAGGACAGTGAAAAGCCAGGAAAGTGCTAAACCATGTATGGGAAATTAAATGCCTTAACTGTTTACAAAGGCTGGGACTATGGATATGAAATAGTGCCAGCAACATACACAAACTTTCCTTGGCAACACTCAGCTCAGCTAGGACATGGGAAGATAAAGTTCTAGACTTACAATGGAAGAAACCTCTTTTCCAGAGTGTTTTCTACATGCATGTCCACGCACACATGCATTCAGAGACAAAAGATCGAATCTTTAACCACAAAACAGAATTTGACATATTGGTTTAAACTGTGGACAGTGCAGATACACAATCTTAGCACAAACAAACAGAACTATGCAAAACTGAAGTTGCAGAACAACAGCCTTTCTATTTTTGCCATGAAAGATAAAGTCGAGACAAAGGCAACGCAGAGGCCCTGAATGCTTTGATCTTACCCAGAAGCGGTCTCCCTGCCTTCGTAACCCTCAAAATCTAAGGCATTAGTTCAATACACTCTTAAAGAGAATACATCTTTCTAAATACCCTACATCAATGAATTATTCAGGCTACACGTAGCTATCTTTCATTCAGACTACATCTAGGCCTCATTTGACTGAGAACAACTGGAATAATTGTGTAATTAAAATAAAATTCTCTAGTCTATATAAAAGACAATGAAAAACTGCAGAAGGTGCAGGAAAGGAATATAATGACTCAAAGACTTGGGGAAAAAAATATCTAACTGTGAAACTTGAAGACTTCAGTCTGTTCAGTTTATCAAAAAGCTGACTTGATTATAGCGTGAAAACCTTCACAAAGAGAAAACACCCATTAATAAAAGCTCTTTAATGTAGCAGAGAAAAACACAACAGGCACATGTGTCTGGAAGCTAACTACAGACAAATCCAAATGGGAAAGAAGTTCCTGATTTTCAATCCTGCAGGCAATCATAAGCTAGTGACATGGAGAACACGCCGCGTCCTCTGCTATCTGCAGATCAAAACTGAATACCTATGCAATATTCAAACAAAAATTACAAACTGAGTAAAGGCATAAATGTGGTCAGATACTGACTTTTTATATGCAAAATGGGGACAATGTAGAATATCTCTCTAGTCTGCAGACTAACCAGTTTGAAACCCGCTACCCCCAGTAAACCAAATCTCTCTTGAAAAGGCAATCCCAGGGCACCAACGCTCTGTCAGTTGACCACAGGCAATTGATCTAAGAGCTGTCCTTGAGGTACAAACTACAATCCAACTTGTTACGTGATCTACCTACTCAGAGTAGAGCTGTAACAGGGGCTGGAACCCTTTGAGCTACTGAATTGAGGCCGGTGGTAGCAACACACCTTGCCCGCTCTTGAATTCAAACATTGGCAAAGCACCGCAGTATAGTTTAGCTGTTCATATATCTTCATGGAAGTAAATGATGACAAAGGAGCTGTTAAACATTAATAGTTAGAACAAGTGATTCCCAGACCCAGAGAATTTTCTAATTTTCTAAAAGTTACTGCTACAAAATCACACACAGTTTCTCTTGCTGTTCTTCCTATGTGCACCACAACCAAGTCTTGTGTGGTTCCGCAAGTGGTATTTCTCTGACATTAAGCAGTATCAGATTGCATACTAAGGATAATCCCCCCCAAAAAGACATCAGGGTCAAAATGTAATCTCCACTGTCCTCAGCAGCACACAGCAGTGGAACCAAGGGCAAAGCTGTTCTCAGTGCCCTCGCTGGATTCTGCTCCTCCTAGTTTGCTTCTGCCGTCTCCTTCTTCCTTGCTCCTCAACACAGGACCTCTACTATATCACATCACATTAAAGCTCTCTTTAATATATAATCTGTTCCTCTTCATAGAGGATATTATCCTTCATCTCGTCTACTGCAACACTACATCACTTCCAGCATACCATATTTTTAATCTTTATTTTCACGAGTGTGATTAAAAAACACATTAGTCAACACAAACATCTTAATTCCCAGTTAGTGTCTTCATTACACAGCTTCCACTTTTATGATAGAAGATTTCAAATATATTTATAAGGAACAGACACTGCATTAAATCCTACTTTAAATATAAGACTTTCATGTTCCCATTATCTCATTATAGTGACCTTACAAACTGAGAGCATGAGAAGTCTGAGCTAGGGTACCTTACATCCTACAGCCCACTGTTGCATTGAACTGCACTTTCATCTATATAGTTTCATGGCTATTGTGTTGTCCCATCTGAGAAACTACCAGTGCAAATGCTTATTACTATAAATTTCTAAGGATGTACTCTTACATGCTTAGAACTTAGGCATATGAAAATAATTAGGTGTGAAACTTAAGGTCAGGATAAATTAGGAGCAATCAACTTCTAGCACAAGAACACCAGTGCAGGCCTTTTACCCCTCAGTGATTTTTTCAAAGTTTTAAGTTTACACCCATAAATTTGACATCGAGTATTCATTTTTTTTCAAAACAGAAGACTGGCAGCCTTAAGAACTGCCCTGAACACTTTTTTCTGCATTTCTTTAATACAATTATATATACAGATTTGGAAAAATTTAATATATCTTGAAAGTCCAATGTATTCTGTGTAATAGTACCCCATGAAAAATGGGTCATAATTGCTCAACAAATTATTGCTAGATCAAAGTAACACTAAAAACTCATTCTGCACAAGAAATACACAGTATTTGTGAAAACACTCAAAAGAAACACGACCGAGATCTGTGCCTTGATATAGAAGATTCTAAATAGCTTCTCAGCACTAAAAGTAGCCTTTAGAAACAGTAACAGACATGGAATTTCATTAATAGTTCGCTCATACTTCTCACTTTCACAGCATCACTCTTTTCATGAACCATATACTATTGTAAATCTTTTTCTAAGTTGATACTTACAACATATAACTGCCGCCATATTATAGACCATTCCCGCAGCGTTGTGGTAACCTCCTGAATCAAGGGGAGCTCATTGGGTATAACCGTTTCATGTTGTCTTAGGAAGAAGAGGAAAAAAAAGTTTGAATTATGTAGTAATTTTGGGTGGGATGGAAGAATCATTCCTAAGAAGGAAGTGTTCATTCCTAAGACAATTCAATAATGGCAGGGTCAAAAATAACATCACTTACTATAACACATTCTTTTTTAACTTAAAGATTTATCAGATACAGGAGAAGAGGTGTACACCAGTACAGCCACTTGGCATAAAGGGCACTTAGGTGGGGGGAAGACAACACTACTGAGCTCATGCTTCCCTCCCCACCGCCCTTACCTCTACACTCACGAGATAAGGATGCCAATACGTACCTCACCATATCATTTGTTCTCAAGACACTGAATTTACAAGAAGCAACCAAGATGAAAGCCACATATGCACAACCTACAATGCCGTGATACTGATGCACAATTGTTTTTCAACATATTGGTCTTGCAAAGAAAAATTAAGCATGCAAGTCATTACCATTAAGTTTCTGTAGGACTCGTTTTAAAATTACGTGCCATGAAAGTAAGAAACAGCAGCTAGATCTTTTAATATTTCAGAAGTAGGGTACTCAAAGGCAGTTTTGTAATCAGCAAGAAAGATGTCATTATGCAGCAATCTCATGATTAGTAGTTTTATCATTTACATATTTAACAGTGTATAAAAATAAATCGGGCACAAAGGAATAAAATATTTTAATCCTGTTTCACTCCATTTCATACCTGGCTAATTATTTATTAGTTTCACTCCACTTTTTTTTCTGGGATTTGGTTGGGTGTTTTTTTTTAATAAACTCTTTTGTCAACATTAGGAACTTTTACGTGTCCAGCAAAGCTGATTTGATTGATATCTAAAGATCTGAACTTGAACAGCTGTTAAATAACAAAAAACAGCCCCACCCCAACTATTTAGGGTCACACACTTCAGGGAAGGGAACAGAATCACAAAATGAACAATCAGAACTTCTGGGTAAGGCAGAAAACAACACATGGATAATGGCTTTCAGCAAGGAGTTCAATCTACAAGATTTACTGGAGACAGAATTAAGAAATTACTTAAATTTCATCCACATAAAAGAAAGGTATCTCATATCAAAGGCCTCTTTCAATATACCAGGCAGAAGTCACAAGACTCAAGGGCTGGAAGATAAAAAGTTGGAGAAAATGAAATTAAAACTAAAGCAGGGGGCAGAGAGTGAAGGAAGTTAATCTAGGTAATTATTAGTTGAGCGAGTAATAGAAGTTATAAAGAAAAATGGCAAATTATGAATTCTTCTGAAACATTTACATTAACAGAGAGAAGGTTATACTTTAGCTCAACTATATGACAATGCAGCTAAGGACAGTACTAGCTAGAAGCACTGCTGATGACAGCACCTTTGAACCTGAAGTGAGTTACCAATTTAAAATATTTTTTAAAAGAACCACCAACATTTTTATCATCAGACTATTAACTAAGTGGAAACGACTGTAAATTATCTGATAATACACTGAAACTATAGTGATACAAATAGGAAAATGGATTTTCATTATTTTCAAATCAAACTTACCCTTTGCCTTCAACTATTGCTTCCTTAAGATGTATATAGGAGGCAGGAAATATGCCCTTGGAGAGGGAGGGAAAAAAAAAAAAAAAACAACGTTTTGAATAAGCAGTTTCACATAACATATTGTATCTATTGCCTAAAAATATGCCAAGACACATTTCCAGGTCTGCAGTCATTCACATCCTCTTAAGCATCAGAATCGTCATGTTACGGTGTTTTGATTTTTTTTTTTTTAATGTACATTTAAATCTCATATTGCACATCCTTTCACGAAGGTGTTATTGTAACCTCGGCAAATGCAAAATAAGTGGTTTTAAACATGTCTTCACGCTACTGAAGAAAACAGCAGACACCCTGTCGTAAGTGGCCCCACAACGGGGTGTTTCCTCCCCTAGTTCATGGTACAGTTTGCCACGATTCTCCAGGTCACTGCACGACTACATACAGTTGCAAATTAAGACAGATTTCCTTTTGAAAGTGTGAAAGTCAGATGATTGTGCATAGATCTACTCCAAAATGACATTTTGCCTGTAATCCAGGTCCGCTGCTTGCTTTTCCTCACGTCTAACCAAGCTTTCTTACCCTGATATGTTGCTTCTGTTCCCAAAGAGTTTTCTCCAGCGTTTTCAGTCTTCCAGTTAAAATAAACATGGTGTGAGAACAGGCAGTATGCCAGGCTGCCTTGCTGTGAAATAAATGGGCATGTGCCCACCCAGAACACAGGCATCCTACATTGCAACCCATAGCACACAGACTATAGATAATGTAGTGTCTTCTACTGGCAACCTATCCTTCCTGCTACAAGCCAAAAACTTCTTCAACAGCCACTACTGCAAAAGACCACTGCTGCTTTTCTGAAAAAAATGTTCTAAATTAATCCCGAGATTCCAGAAATACAATAATATCTTCAAAATAGTGTAAACTCCTATTAAAAAATAATTCAAGTTGAACTAAGAAGTTGAGTTCCTCCACCTCACCCTTTGAGGTAGTAGTTCAGTTTTCTTATGATCTGGGAACACAAAAAAAGAAATTCTCTAGAAAGCTACAGAAACTGGGGGGGATAGGGGGAGGGGAGTGTGTCTTTTCATTCCAGTAAAAAAAAAAAAAATTATAAAAATCATTACATTTAGCAGCAGACAAATGCAACAACACGTGTAACTAATTTAAGCCAAGAAAAATGCGTAATTACTTCGTAGGTTGTACAAAGTATGTTTGTAAAATACAGTTTGTATAAAATGTAATGTATTTCCAAAAAAAGCAAATATCAAAATAGAATAGAAAAAACATAGAACGAGCCTGGTTAGAAAGTGGGTGGGACAAACCACACAACTCAGCTCTGTACTTTTAGACGTGCAGATGCAACTCAAAATGCACCTCTGTAGGCAAACATTACATTTTAAGTGTTTTACTTTAAGTGAAAAAAGAAGCAAAACCAGAAGTCATTTAATTCTGGTTAATTACTACTATAAAGTTAAACGCTCAAAAAATAAAACACAATGTTACAACCAGTATTTGTGCTGTTTCCTTTTTATTTCAGAAAGGCTGCTATAAACAGCAGCCCTTTATGCACACTGAAAGCCTAACAACTAGGCAAAATTACACTGCAGAAGATTAATCCCCCTCTTGCAGGGAACGACTGAAAATCACAATGTAGATCTCCGTATCACTTTCCAAGATGCAATCGCATTTTACGAGTAATACATTATTTAACAGACAGTGAAGCAAAGTGTCAGCCTCTAAACAGATCAACTAGAACATAAAGTTCTGAACTTTTTACTGAGGCAAAGATTCCTGTACGCCAGTTACTAGAGAAAACAAGCTGATGCATATAAAGCCATCTATAGTGACTGTACGTACTTAGATCCTTAAATTGCAAAACAGAGATATGCAACTTAGCTTTTAGGCCTTGCTAACATAAGTTTCAGTTTACTTGAAAAAAAAAATCACATTTAGCAGAGGATGAGACTACACACCAGCAGTTATTGGAGCTCAGAGGACACATGCCGTATCGCTCCCACGCAGTACTGGAACACGTGCCGGAGATCTCCGCTACAACAACACACCCAATGCCATAATACATCTCTGTCCGAGAGAAAAATGAGCACTCTGGCTCTGGCAACACTTACCTTCTTGGATTTTTTTCGTAGTGTATAACCTCTGTACCAACCTAGAAAGGAAAAAGGGAAAAAAGCATTAAAAAGTTCATTAATGTCACCTACCTGCAGTTCCGTCTCAGCTCAGCAGCACCTTAACGTGGTTTCCGATCACGCTTCGTCCCCGTCAACAAGCACACACGCACCCCACCTGAATTTAAATTCTCTGCAGGATTAATACCCTGGCTGAAAGAAGGCTCGTTGGAAGCTATAAAAATCAGAGTGGTGATTATCAAACCAATGGAGAAGGCTACATGACAGCAATGGCATTTTACATGATGTGTTTAACTGTCATTCATTTAATTTTAATTACTAATCTACAAGCATGAACAAAACCAACTTATGAGCACTAACTTTACAAAACTGCACTTTTTAACTAGTTTGATTTTAAAACCTATTTAATTTCCGCAAATGCAAGTTTCCAAATGTAGATCAGCTGTTTGTCATCTCAGCAGAAAACAAGAATACTTCGGGATTTATGATTCACACATCGAAACACATAAAAGCAAGGAGCCCTGAAGCCCTGATTCAGCACGAGGCAGCAAACACCCACCCCGCAGCCGTCCCGATGCCGCATGATTATTCAGCCTGTGCCATGCTCCTTTTCCAGGCGGCTATGCCTGGAAAACTGTCTCATTTATTGCGCCCCCAGTTCGCAACACATCTGCAAGCAATCACCATTACAGCTTTTACTGTTTCTCCAGCCATCCCACTTCAGTGCGACTGGATAACCAAAGCAAAAACAAAACCCTGTACCAACTACAGTCGTTCTGCCTCATGGAAGATTCTGTGCCAGAGAAAACAGATGAGATCTTCTGCGCACATTGCCCCCCAGTTCAGCGCTAGATGCTTGTAAGCTTGTGCTGGGGCCGGTTTGGATTTCAGTTTGTCTGTGCCAGGGCTCGCTCGCCCCTTCCTGCTCAGCACCCCAGCGAACCCCCGCCCTCCCCAGTGACCCCAGCTGCCCTCTGCAGCTTTTGGAAGCCAGAGCCTGGGTGCAATACCACCCCCCTCTAGCTCTGCAAACAGAGGGTTTGTACAGCAAAGCATCCCTCTCCAGAGATCAACACAGGTGAGGATGGGGGCATCACAGGCATGGGCAAAAAAAAAAAAAAAGAACAAACCTACAGCCCTGCTCCTGATAATAACTAGGGCAGGAAGAAAGTTCAAGGAAGACAACACATGCTAATAAATTCATTATCTACGCTCTGGGACTAGAAATACAAATTAAAGTCTCAAGCGCACAGGATTTTTCATCTGCTCTCCAGCAGCAAAAGGTAAAATGATTCATCATCTCAGCACTGCATCAGCAGCCTATCCTCCATCATCACCTGGGGATGGTCAGTGCTATCTTCCTTAATCTGCTGTCTACAACCGACACAGTTCACTTCCCTACAGAGGCTGCCATGGCCTCACATCTTGCATTTCCACTTCTTTCAGAGCAATATCAACAAAACCCATTGCTGAAACGACCATGCACAGTTTCTGGCTCGGGTGCAAAGAAGGCAAAGCATTTCTGCCAGCTCTTACTCCACTGGCTGAAATCTATGCATAGATTTCAACCCTATTAAAAGAACTAAATTTCCTCAGTTTTATATGAATAAACCAACATTGTGAAGTTCTGGAGTCTAAACTGCTAAGCACCAGAACTCTGATAAATGCACTGTACAAACTAAAGAACGTATTCTCTCTTCCACCTTGCTTCTCCCATCCCATCTTCTATGCTGACTCAGGACATCATGCTGCACCTACAGATTAAAAAAGCCACGTAGCAGAGAAAGCTCCTCACCGCTGAACCTCCACCTCCCGAAGCTTTGCAGCAAGAGCGATGAGAGATCGCAGATAAAAAAGCAGCCAAAACCAACTGGTTGCACTCCTGCTCGTTGCAGCGTTGCTAATGGGGCCAGGCAAGTCCAACCAGGCTCCTCATCGGCAGCCACCCCCGAAATGAAGTTCTTGCTGGGGATCTAGCCTGCAGCTATGCAGTGGGGAACCCCATTTTCAGGGAGAGCTAATTCTCACGGATCCAACCGGTGGCACCAACTCTTGTCACGAACACACACGTGTAAGGGCAGTGCCATTTAAATACACGAAGTCATCTCTAATGAACTACCCGTAAGGACTAGTCGGTATCTTAGTTCCCCATCTGTAAGATGAGGGCAGCTCTCCTCCACATACAGACAAGCACTACAAAAACAACCAACTCCCTCACAAGCATGAATTAAAGAAACGAAGGTCACAAAATTGTGATTTTTCTTCAACGCACAATAAATACGGTTTGTTGTCAGACACTGGACCAGAGAAAAATAGGTATAGTACAGCCACTGCTTTAGGTGAGCAATATCTAGTTCCCCACACTAAAAAAACAAGGGGTAGAGGGATACATGAGTGCTTGTTGAAGACATTAAGGAGGTATCCTAACACACCTATGTTGTGGCCCTGCCCAATTTTATTTTTTGATTTTGTAACCTCTGCAGTTGTAGAGATCATAAAAAAAAAAAAAATAAACACTGAAAGCCTGATGACAGAGAGGGCGAATACCTGATGTCAATCACTTCCCTGGAGCACAGAGCTCCAGAGCCTCCTCACTCTACTCATGGCCATTTGGGTTTCAGACCAAACACCAGCGAGAGGAAAACAGGCTGATGCCAGAAATATTCTGCTAAAGCGACCAGGGCTTTTAAGTGGCTTACGGATGTGTTACAGGGTTTCCAGCCTTGCCCTCAACAAATACTATACGATATAACGGCTGGAAATAGCATCCACATAAATGCCCAACTAACAAAAGGGACCAATGAAACATCTGTGTGTCTGTTAAGCTGCAAAAGACACTCAAAAACTTGCTGTTGTTTCTCTTGAATGATGCATCTCTTCAACTTATCTGGGTAACTGTGCGGTAATTTGCTGCATTTAAAAAAAAAAAAAAGCAGGAAACAAAACAAAAACAACCTGCAATCAACAACTAATGTTCCCACTGTATCAGGAGTAACTTATTTGAAAATACATATTTGGGAACCCACAGCAGCACTGTTCAAACATGCAAGCTTGGGTTTGGAGCTTATTTACCATTATATTTAATAGCTATTCACCTTAATAAGCCACAGTTATTGATCATATGTTCCATTTGCCCATTCCATTAAATAAAAACAAACAGAATTAAGACAATAAAGACCTGGCAAGTACTGATTCAGAACGCAGCAAATGCTTGTTCTGGGATACTGGCTATGAAACACAATCCTCCTTGCCTGCAAGACAAAGGATATTTATGGAGTCATAAGGCTTTGCTGTTTGGCTTTTCCTGTAAGGTTCACATTAGAAGGAGTGAGAGGAAGTTTTCTATCTGAAAAATAAAACTATCTGCAATTCTACATGAAAGAAAAATACCAATTTGATTTTCAGCATCAATTCCTCTAAAAGTAGCTTCATCATTGCATTGGTTCTTGGAAGAATAGAAACTTTAAGATTTAACAGTGAAATGTGCACATTCTCTTCCAATCTAATAACTCCTATAAAAATATAGGCTGTTTCCAATGAGCTTTCAACTTTACAGGATTTGCATATTGAATTATTTGTAGAAACTTTCCCCTGCATTTCAGGGCAAAAAAAAGTCATCTTTGATTAAAATTTAAAATACTAAAACATTTGAGTAATAAAAACAAACTCCAAAATAAGTTCTACATATATGTAAAAAAAATAATATTTTAAACACATAAGAAAAGTCCATCTTAGGAATCCATTCCAGTACAGGATAGAAACATGAAACCTATTAAAACAGGTCATCTCGGCTACACACAAAACCAAGCCCCCCCAACTTCTCAGCCTCCTTCGTCTGCAGAGAGAAGACAAACTGACCAAGCATTTACCATAAGCCTTTTTTACAACAAATCAGAGGTTAAAAAAAAAAAAAAAAATCAAACAAAAATAAACCAAAACAAACTACAATCTACCACTTCAAAGCCTATGGATACATGTAAGTCTTCAAAACTACTCCTATCTTTAGACTTATTGGAGAAAACTATTTCAAAATAGTAACAATTCTGCAGTAGGATGCCAAGAGCAGAACGCATAATACAACAGATATCAAAGTCGCCCATTTTTTTCCCCATGACCTTAAAGACAGGGAAAAAGGGTAGACCTTTAAGAAGCAGAGTCACAGATCCTCAGCAAAAAGCCAGTACTGACTCTTCAAACCACTTTTCCAACCCATGCTCATATTATTAGGGGCCTTTTCTTCAGACTGGCCCGTCCCACCGCAGGCAAGCCCAAGCCTGACAGGGACAGGCCGATGGCAGGGAGGTTCCCAGGCACACACCTGGACGTTAGTGCATGTGGTACGAAACCTCCTGGGGCACAATCTACACATATTTTATACAGAGGAAACTTGGAGATCAAAAAGCTCAAATAATTACCTAATAATGGCAGCTCTGTGAACAAGAGAGATAAGAGTTATGGCATCTAATTTCCCATCACAGCAGGTATGTAATGAGTAATCATTGTATAAAATGTTTGGAAGAACATTAACTTATTTGCATTTCTTTTAACATGAGCTTATCCCATGTGCTTGAAGCCTAACAGCCATGAGTGTGAAGGTCTAGGGGAAACATGAGTCATCTCCACCGGCCCACTTAGTTGGCAGCAGTCACCTATTGATATGGTTTACATATCCTATTCAGGATTCAGAGTTTCTCCCCCATTCATTAAATAAATCTATTTACATATAAAAGTACAAAGCTGCACAGTATTTAAATCATTCCAATTGCATTTAAAATGTTTGCATTATTCGATTTTTTTTAAAGCATATAATGTCAGATAACGGAAAGATTATTTTGCTTGGAGTCAAACGAAGCATTGCAGTGGCAAGCTGAACTCCGTACAAGAATGCCAGCCTAGGAACAACGAGAAAATGTATTTGCACAGAGATGAGTAGAGTTTGTTACTTTCGTTGAAATAGCATTGTTTGTTTCAGTAAATGTAACAATAAAGTAATCCTCTTAAGCCGTTATTTAAAACAAATTTATCACACAGAGGTACCAAAAGATCAACGTCTAGCAAAACAAATCAATCAAATCAATATATAAGTAAAGCACATTTCCACAAGACAAAAAGTGTTACAATATTTTAAACACGGTTTAGTTATATGTTACCTATACCTTTCCAAACTGCAGCATGCCACAAAATTTCAAGTCAAGGATATAACGGAAGATCTGGATTTTGCTTAGCTCAGTACTGGATCAAGCAAGAGCTCAAAAGTGTTACGACAACTTTCACATTCTGTTGATTATCAGACTCAACATTCAAATTCCCCTGTACATGGATCAAGGAGGAAATATTTTGGTACATGTAATGTTTCTACAGTTTCACATCAAAACAAGCAAAGCAGCTGAAAAGCCTGAAATTAATCCATGACACCAACACTGACACCCATCTTATAAGAGAGACATAAATAATTTAGGACCCCGGCGACTTTCAAATTCAGATTAAACTTCTTTTAGCAGGAGGCACTTTTGCATTACCCAAGTGTATTCAAAAAGCATCTATCATTTCTCTAACGTAGGGTAGATGCTGCAATTGATCCATACAAATAAAGCTGTGTGAACATCCATCTTCCCTAGCGAAGGCAATGGTTATTCACCACGTATCAACCACATGTGTCTTCATTCACACCCAGCATTGGTTAATCTTGTGTTCATTAGAAATAACATGTTTTGTCCTTTAGCTAGAAAGTAACTCACTCATCACCTGGTAACACGAGAAGGTCACAAACAGAAAAGCAATGCAATTGCAAACCCAAGGTTTTTAAATGCAACTTTTGTCAGCTTACCTTCATATGTTTCTAATATGTGCACGGTGTCACCTATTTGTAAGGAAAGTTCGTCTGGCCCCCTCGCGTCATAGTTGTAGAGAGCTGGACAGAAGAAACACTGCTATTAGCACACGCAAGACAACATAACTTCCAGGATTTTTGTTTTCTCCACATAACCATTTTTATTACGCATTGTTGCCGTTCTCAACCTTTTTGTAAAGGATTTTGTAAAAAAAATTTGTAAAAATCTGGCCAAGTCCTTTAATCCATTAATATTTCCCCTTGTAACAAGTTTCAAAAAGCCACAAGTCCACTTTCTTAAGTTAGTCCCTCACTCCGTTTATAATGCTTTGCTTCTTCATAATAATGCGTTCTATGATACTTTTTTTGTTGTTGTACTTGCCTCTCTTCCAGCACTTCGTAAATTTTCCATGTATTAAGCTGAGAGAAGACAGTGCAGTTCATTACAGAACTGCACATAACTGACGCAAAGTATCTTCAGAAAACTCAAATTACCACCACTAATATTAAAGAATGATTTATCAGTCCCTTTGTTCATTTACTGCAGGCATACTATATGTAAAAACAACATGATTTCAGAGTTCCTGAGTGCCAGAGAGAACTGCATCAACCCACTGTATTCATGGGCAAGACCAGTCCTATTCCCCATTTATAGCATTATAATCAAGTTATCACACTTTACTCATTAGCAAGCCCTGACAGCATCCACAACCTGCACCACCACAACCTGCAAATTCACCAAATACATTTGTTTTCACCAATATTTGTGAGTGGCTCCAGTCACAAGCAGGGTGAGGAGTGACAACTGTGTGAAAGCCATTTCCCTTTCCAGTGCTAAATTCAGAAAAAGCCTGGAGTCCTACCATCCAGTATTAGCAGCACACGTGTGAGAGAGCTAAAGGACCCTCATGTCACACACAACTGGTGTCAATCCTGGAGAGCTAAAGCAGGGCAGAAAAGATTCTGGACCGAGAGAAAACGCTTGGAATTAATTAGATGCACCTAAACAGCAAACCTCACAGCTGTATATATTCCAAAAGTGACTTAATTGTAGGTCATAAGTTCCAGCTCAACCCCTGGAGGAAAATCTGCTCATCACTGCTCCCCAGACCAGCGGTCAGCCTCCACCCATGCCCCCCACATTTCTCTTCCCTGAAGGAGCACTGGGCGAACAACTTCAGACGCCGATGAACTCAACTGCAAAAAAAAAAAAAATGCTGGAAGTGGCTCCTGCCTCACGGCCACTGCCAGCAGACTTCCCTCCTGGCCAGGGAGTAACTTTGGAAAGAACTAAAATTAGTTTGCTTTGAAAAAACTGTAGCCAAGTATATACTACCTGAGATAATTCAAATGGAAAAGATGCATGACCCCACTCACCAATCAAATGACAACCAATAAATAGAAACCACTGGGGACTGGGAGGTTGGGATTGGGTTGGTTTTTAAAGAACTGTCTGATAAGAAAGAAGAATTGTTGAGAAATGTCATCTTCAGAAGATAATAAACAAGCAGAAAGAAAGAATCCAAAGACCATTCCTCCTGACCCTTCCCAAAAGAAAATCTGGAAACTCTGAGCAGTGAGATTAGCAATGACCAGAAATGTATCTGACAAAAAAAAAAAATAATAATAATCTGAAAAACAAAACAGTTATGTCATCTAAAGCTAGATTTTTGTGTTTCATATGGAGCAAGTTCTCTGTAAGAAACAAAATCCTCCAATACCACGTAGGGTCCTCATGACTCAAGGCAGTGACTCCAGTATTTCTCAAGACTGAAGTTAATGAACTGTAGTCAAGGCGGACCCACAGAAGTTTCTGCACCTGAAGTTACTCCCTCCAAAGGGATTATCAAGTTTAAAGGCATTTTATACTCTATTCTTAACAACTAATGACATGGTAAAAGTAGTCTTCTTCCTTCACCGCGAGGTGCTACGTACTTCTCGTCTTCCCTTTTCCAGCACAAAAAAAGCTGTGCTGCTTTGAGCGCAGCCCTCCTGCACAGTGACAGCTTCCAGAACACAGTGGCAAAAGACAGCTTTGTAAAAATATCTGAGAATCTGAATTTCTTACCTCTTGTCATAACTCTTCAGGGAGTGAAAGCATTTTTGGAATATGGTAGTTACCTCAAAACTTTCTACCACCCCGAGATAACCGCTTGCTTTTCTTTCTACATTAGTTTCCAGGGACAGGGTTGGTGTGCAGCATTGCTCAGAAGTGCTCCAGTGGGACACTCTGATACTATCACTGGAACAGAAAGACCTGGACAAATTACATGGAACGCCCCCCTTCTCGCAGGAAATCTTCACAAATGCTCAGACCGAAGTTGTTCACAGGACACTACCAACACGTGCTGCGCTCATTCCAGGTCACACAGCACTTCTAAAGAAACTCTCAAACTTAAAACCTACAGCAAAAGGGCAAAAGCTGCAGTTAGAAAGGCAACGAGACATCGGACCCAGGAGGCACCCTCACTAACCTGCTCAATTTTCTCCTATTCCCAAGTGGTCCTGAGAAGCAAGCTAGAGCCCGTATTACACAGATCAACAGCATAAACGACATCTGTAAGAACTGGTAACTGGAGAAAAATATTTTCTTGACCTCAGATCTGATAATCACTTTATCCCCAAGTGTGCAAGCAGGAACCATCCAAGAGGGCATGTGAGGAGTCTAATCCCACCACAAGGATGAGGCATGCTGCCCAGCGCTGCCTCCAACCGTGGCCATGACTTCATTTTCAACCTCCAGAAGTTATTATTTATTCTCCCCAGAATTTAGCAAATTCCAGCTTACAACGCTAACCAACAATGAATACACAACAGCTTGCCTTGGTTCTTTTCTATGTGGCATTCCTCTTGCTTGACAGCCTACAGACTTTAAAGTTTAGAAGTAAATAAATATATCTGAGTGCAAAAACAAAAAAAAAAATGAAAAAAGTAATTTGGAAAAATAAAAAAACCACAGTATACACTATAAGATGATAAATAGAGGAGAGGACACTTCAGGCTAAAAAGAATAAAGGTCAAGTGCATCACAGAGACTAATATCAACAGTATTTAAATGAAGGCTTTAGAAAGTAATATAGTTTATTGACATCAAAACAAGCCAAACTAGTTATTCCTGTTTTAATGTTTTTGTTAGCTTTTTCATTATTAAAGAGGAATAAACCTTCCCTCCTAGGTATCTGCTGCAGAATATTTCAAAGCCATCATTGCAGGAGAAGAGGGTTCTATGAAAAACACATTAACAAAGATTAACATTTTAAACTGTTCTGAGCAGAGGGATGTTAACAGTGGTCAATACACAACACGCGGGACAGTCTGCTCGAGAACACTCGTAGGAAATGTTTTCAGTTCAGTTTCTGTGCATACCAGGGAAGACAAAGTCACACCATCAATACTAACTCCTCCAAACTTGTATGGTTGGAGTTCAACACCGAACTCCATCCTTCAGGTATTTACTTGGATCTCTTCAACACTCGCTGCTGTCACTACGGTTGAGAGGACCCATGGGTGCTCAACACGTTCAAAAATGAATCCAACTCAAGTCTTCCACCTTTGGGACCACAACGAGCCCTCTCACTGCCTCGTACCAGACATCTCAGTCAGGAAACATTCGCATTACGACAGATTAAAAACAGTCCTGTACTCAATTCACACTTCAGCTAAGCATTTCTCAAACATTTAAATGGAATAACACTAAGGATCAAAGGCAACTATGAATAAAAGACATTCAGATTTACAACCAAGAGTGCTAACTGGTCTCTGTCATAACAAGCAGGGTCACATAACAGTAGCATCACTGTAATGACCGATTCTTTTGACAGAAGATGACTAACAGCCACCAAGTGGTAATTACTGCCCACGACAGCTCCCGCTGACCTGAGTGAGGGGCAATGGCCACGGAGGGAGGATTTATCTTCAAAAATGTGTAAAAAATATGTCTACAAAAAAGCAAACAGGAAAAAAAAAAAACACACACACACAAAAAACAAAACACATTTTTGGCTTGTAGCAGCACTGACAGATCATGAAGCAAGCAATCAAAATAACTGTAAAGTGCATTCCACCTCTGTGATTAGAAAACCAGGCATGAACTACACTGCATACTCCTATGTAAGCTAGCAGATAACTCCCTCTCAGGGTACTTTTTATATGTAAAAAGTGACATCAAAAGACATTATGACAGATAAAAATGTTTGATTGGAGCAAACAACAAAGCTTAATTAAAAGGAAAAGACAAAATTAGGAGGAGGGAAGAATGAAACCGGTATGCTTATACTTTGTCTGATCAACTGTATTCTGAGTCACCATTTGAAATATTTAAAAGCCTGAAGTATAACTTCAATTTTTTTTTTTTTTTTTTAACTGAAATAAATTTTGCTTAATTTGAACAACCCAGTTCTCAGCATGACAGATTTCCAGCTTGGAGAGGTCTAAGCTAAATGTAACACTAGGAATATTTGCACCAGCTAATGTCAGGCCTCCCCACTGTGCCTGAACTGAGAGTCAAGGCTCACTGTTTTGGCAAAGGAGTTACGCAGTCTCGTAAGTTCAAAAAACCTTTGCTACAATGCACAGACAAGATAAGGAGCAAGGTTACTCAAGCATCAAAAGACTTATGACTAAGACCTAGCCAGTGCAAGTTAACCTCATGATTAACACTAATACAGCATCCCGATGGTCTTCATGCATGCACAGGTTTTTCTTTTTTTTTTTTTTTTTTTTCTCTCTAATAAACTTCAACTCAAGAGGCACAGCTAAGCTTCTCTATTGCAATTGAATACTCTCATCCCCTTATCATTTAAAAGAATGCTATTTCCAATGCATTTTCTCCTTAAGGGATACATCTGTGACAGTGGTAACTTAAGAGACCATGCAGAAGAGATACCAAAGTCACTAGAGCTCAGGAAAAATGCTGCTTTCTGAGCTCCAAACATGCTGCTTTTCCACGGAAGGAATACGGGAGTTAGCTCAGGCTCTGGCAACCCAGTGCCACTTCCCTCAGCCTGGCTCCAGTCCGCACTATCGATGAAGCATCAGGTTCATACAGCCCAGTATATGGCAATCAGCTTCAAAGGAAGGTG